TAGAGAGTCGGGAGTCATGATGGCCCGTTCAGGGACTGTTCTTAAACTTCACTAGATTGAAGTTATAAGATTCGTGTTGTGGAGTAGAGAGAGATAAATTTTAATATGTAGGGTGGAGACAAATTATGGGCAGGCTTAAAGTGCAAACGTTTTATCCCATAAGCACAAGATCTTCTTAAGCAGTTGAATTTTTTATGAAAATATGGCAAAAACACAGAGAGGTTCGATCGATTAAAGAATGATGAGGTTGGAAGCAGGGTTATCAGTTATGTATGAGGTTGTTGACGCAATAATCTAATTATGAGGTGATGAAAATTTAGACTAACTTGCTGGCAGTGGGAACAGAAAAGGAAGGACTGAATGTGAGAGACATGTCAAAGGAAAACTTCAGACATAATTATTATAACCCCAACTACCCCAGCTATCTGTTCTGTCTTGGGTAGAGTGAGAGTGACCTCAGTCATTAGTTAAGTATAATCCTAGCTCATGGCAATTGGCCAGAAGCAGGAAGTTACTGGTTAGATTGCTGGTCAGCTTCAGCCAGAAGCAGAACCCTGAGCAATATAGGAGAACCAGGGCTTTATCAGAAGTCACTAAAATTTAGAAGGTGCTAACAGCCAATAGGAGGCAGTTAGATGGCACAGTGGATAAAGTGCTGGGCCTAGAGTCAGGAAGACTCATTTTCATGAGTTCGAATCTGGCCTCAGACACCTACTAACTGTGTGGCCCTGGGCAAGTTATTTAATCCTGTTTGCTCAGTTCCTGTCTATAAAAGCACTGGAGAAGGCAATGGCAAACCACCCCAGTATCTGCCAATAAAACCCCAAATAGGGTTACAAAGAATCAGACACAACTGAAAAATGACTGAACAATAGCAAATAGCACTGAAGAAAGAAGTGGCAACTGGAGAGAGAAATGACAAACTACTCAAGAAAACTGTGGACGTTATGGTTCACAGGGTCATGAAGGGCTGGACAAGACTGATGGACCCAACAACAACAACAGCACTTTGGTCCCTTCTGCAGCATAAAGACAAATTAGCTTAGCACGTAGTTAGCAAAGATAATTAACAAGAATAACTAAGTTTCTCCCTCTGTCATAGGTTCTGAACAGTGACCTTTAAGAAGTCCTTGTGTCTCCAATCGCAAGGATTCTGGCGCTCCCCACAACTGAATTTTTCTTTAAAAGTTAGAGGGATTTTTGTTACTTGACTCCAAGTATGTTTTGCTCTGGGCACCAAAGTCACTAGCTAAAACCCTATCCCAAGGCTTTGTAGGGCAGGCCAAAGTTAAGATGGGTTATGTTCACAGACAGCACTTTGGTTACGGTCTTGTTCAGGGAAGCAGGAATCAAAACAGGATCAAACAGAAGTCAAGTTTGAGCAGCACCAGAGAGAGCTGCCATTGAACTCATTGCTGTGATAAATGTTTGAAATATATGCTGTTCCTTTATCCCTGGCAGGTCAAGTCTCAGCAGACCACTCTAGGTTTAGTCAGAACCAGGCTTTTGGGGACAGATCTAATCCAGTGAAGAAAGCTGATTCTTTACGTACCCTGGAACCTGCAGTCTGCTAGTGCCTACAAGCAGACTACGTCTTCCAACTTGATTATGGCTGGTCATATGCTAAGAAGGGAGAGTTAAGGAAAATTAATACTGGTTCCCACATTCAGTGTCATCCTTGAATTTTCACTCTAACTCACCCCACATTTCCATTCCATTGCCAAATCTAGTTATTATTAGATTTGGCAATGATCTAATTATTTTTACAACATCTGTCATACAGGTCTCCTCTTCTCTCATGTAAGCCACTACCCTAGTTCAAGCCTAATTCAGAAAATACTGTATCCATAAATGTGTATTTCCTCATAAAGTAGACTGTGCTAGTTAGAATTCCTTTCTAGCATTTAAAATACAATCAGATTAGCCAGATTTGGGGGGTTAGAGGAGGAGTGGTTGTGGGTGTCCTTAATCTTCTTTACACTGAAAATGAAAGTAGGTCATAAACTGGCATTTATATGGCACTTTAAAGTTTGCTGATATATATATATATATATATATATATATATATATATATATATATGTATGTGTGTGTGTGTGTGTATGTGTGTGTGTGTGTGTTATCTTCACAACCCTGGGAGGTGGATGCTAGGTGTTATTATCATCCCATTTTACAAATGAAGACACTGAAGTAAACAGAGATTAAATGGCTTGCCCAAGGTTAGGTCCCATAAGTATTTACAGCAGAGGAGTGATACCTAATTGAACAGATCTTCTTGTAGGTTTCTGAGCAAAGCAGTTTGACATCATTGTCATCATGTGTGGGATTGATAGGAGGTAGGAGAGACCAGAGTCAAGGAGGGCTCTTTCCAGTAATCCAGCAGTAAGACCATAAAGGTTTAATTGATGGAGTTGGCAGGATGAATGAAGAGGAAGGGGCAAGTGGGAAAGCCGTTTCCAAAGAATAGATGATAGGGAGTAAAAGAGGGAAAAATCAAAATTGACCTTAAGGTTTCAAGACAAAAGGATGGTGTTACTCTTAACTGAAATAAGATAGTTTGCACTGTTATGGGCAGTTGAAATGGTATAACATTGGGCTTACTGGCTACTTATTTGTACTTTCATTAGGAATGATTAGCAGCATTTTTGTCTAATATTGCTAGAGTACATTTCTGAGAAATAAATAATATTGGCCAACTTAGAGCCACGTTCCACTATACCATCCCAGGACAGTTAACTGTTAAGGACAGATTTGTCATTGTATCTTGAGCAAGTTTCTTACCTAAGTATTTCCTTTCCAAAGTGGTTGGATACAGAAAATGAATTTCAACCACTGTTAATTTTTTTATTGGTAAGAATTTTTTTATAAGGGAGTTGGAGAGAAGCCATATCCTGTTGTACCTATAGAAGGAAATAGAGGAGTTTCTCATCAGGAACTATTGAGGAAGAAGAAAATCCCTAAGATTTGTATTTTTTCCTCATTCCCTCAGCTTCCATCCTACCTTGCTCTTTAATCTCATCTCTGTTTGATCTTAGGCAACATCAGAGACATAGATCAAAATTCTCAAGATGACGGTTTGCGAGAGCTTAAGTTGCTAAGTAAATATTTAAAGAAAAACTATCCGAGCTTGTTGCAACTGTGGGACTAGATTTCAGTTTTCTATGTTTTGTGTAATGAGAGTAAACCGTAAAACATTCTTTCGTTAATTTTTCCATTCTACCCTGCCTGTGACAGTTACAATTCTGTGGAGGATGGAAGCCAATTTTAGTCTCTCCTCACTATAGACCTCAGCAAAGGCCAATGCATTCTAATATTGCTCCATCAGAGAAGTTGCTAAACCAGCAGCAGGTTGAAGGTGGGAAAGGGAAGGGTGGGAGTTCTAAGTCTGCTCCATCATGTCTTCTACAAATAAAAAAATATTTTTTGTTTTTGCCTTTTTTCAAAACAGCATCATCTTTATGTCCTTTTAGATTTTCAGCAACTCTGTGATTCAATAGCTAAAAAAACCTAAGAGTAAATCTTGCCGGGGTGGAGGAGGTGGGGGAAGCCAGGTGGTGAAGTGGATAGAGCACCAGTTCTGGAGTCAGGAAGAACTGAGTTCAAATCTGGCCTCAGATACTTGCTAGCTATGTGACCCTAAGCAAGTCACTTAACCCCAACTGCCTCTTAAAAAAAAGGAGTAAATCTTGGTATCCTCAACTCTTATATCAGTATTCTCTCCACTAGTAACAGAGCTAGGTTTAAGGAAAGAGCAACTTCTTTGTCTACCTCACCTGCATACCAAGAATGGTTACAAATAACAAGGCCCTGAAACCATGTTTGTCCCCATTTGTTTCATTCTTTTGAGCTAAACAATGGAAGATATCAGACAATGACTTCATGCTCCATTCATGATGAGCTGGGGGAAAAAAAACAAATTATTATCTAAAGAATAAAGAGCATCCTTACTTTAATTCCTTTTCATGGTATAAGATCCTTGAAGAAGCTGATGGGGAAACAAAATCTGGAAAATTCTGTCAAGCTGAAAAATTGAGTTTGGGCCTAACGACTTGTATCAGTCATCTAAGGATCATCTTAGCCATGTGCAGGGGAGCCTTATGACTAAGTTGTTCATAAAGTAATGCATGCTGCAGCCACAGAGGTTCTTAAAGTGTAGAGCAATTCTGTAAAGGAAATACTCACAATAACTGGTAGCACAGGTCCTTAAATCATTTAAAAGTAAGGGGCAGTTCCACATGGAAGAGCTTTCAAGGTGAATTTACCTTGTTTTGTTCACATACCTCTTTAAGTTTGCTTTGCAACAGAAGTAATTAATGTCTTAAAATAGATGGTGTTTCAGGTTCTGTCACTCATAAATGCCATAATTATCTCTGTACCTCTGACTGAAGTACCATTTTGCAATTTCTTACAGGAGTTACTACTTTTGTCAAAATGTCTGCACATGTGAATTTTTGTTTTAATCAGTAACTCATTAGATAAAGTGGTTGGAAAACAATGCTAATGAGGCCAGAGTCATGGGTCTTTGAAACCTCTTACTTTTCCAAGTAAGGTTGCCTTGCAATCTTAACTCTAGCTAACCATTTCATAAAATGCATATTCCAGCTTTGATTATTGCCTGCATATATAATAACAGGAGTGATCTTCAGCAAGTCATCAACTTTAGGCCTCAGTTTCCTCAACTGTAAAATGAGAGGGTTATACTTGATAAGCTCTCTAAGGTCCTTTTCACAGTGAGAGCTATGATGACTATGCTATGTCATGTAAATCATTAGGCTAGGGCCTGGTGAGCAAGTGGATATCAATAGTTTAGAACAAATTCATCATTTCTACTGGAAAAGCAGGTGAAAGCATCAGTCTTATTGTAATTTTTGTGACAAATATATATATATAACTCAAAGTTTCCTATTCTGGTTGATTCTCTCATGTAATTGATTTTGAAATTACCTTACTCCATGTTCTTTAATTACCTGCCATTTTGTTCATCATGTTTTTGTTCTTGCAGATATAGCTCAAGATTGGTCGGATTTTGCTCTTTGGTGGGAACAAAAACATTGCTGGCTTTTAAAAACACACTGGACTCTGGACAAATGTGGTGTCCAGGCCGATGCGAGGCTGCTTTTCACACCTCAGCATAAAATGTTACGCCTTCGTTTGCCAAACATGAAAACTGTGAGACTAAGAGTCAGCTTTTCATCTGTTGTCTTTAAAGCTGTTAGTGATATCTGCAAAACTCTTAGTAAGTACATTTGGAGTGAATCTAACCCTTTAAAAAATCTCTTACTGAAAGAGGACAAGAATAGAATATCTGCTCTATGCTTTTCTTTTTTTTATTAAATTAATTTTTTTAAATTAATTTATTTATTTTTAGTTTTCAACATTCATCTCCATAAGATTTTGAGTTCCAAATTTTCTCCCCCACCCCAAGATGGCATGCCATCTGATATAGGCTCTACATATACATTCATATTAAACATATTTTCACATTAGTCATTTTGTAGAGAAGAAGTAGAACCAATGGGAAGAACCACAAGAAAGAAGAAATTTTTTTAAAAAAGAGAGAGAGCAAATAGTATGCCTTAATCTGCATTCAGACTCCATAGTTGTTTTTCTGGATGTGGATCACATTTTCCACCACCCCATACTTTTCACAAACAACCTGTGGAGAATGCAGGCACCACTGGATTGAGGTATCTGCCTTTTTTGAGTCTCTTCTCTGGCTTTCAACTTTCTCCCTCTCTACTAGTTCCTCTTCTCTGCATGCTTAAAAAGACTTCTGAGTCTTTTGCTGTCTCAATCTATCATCCTATTTTCCTCTTCCACTCCGCTGCCAAACACCTAGAAAGAATACTCCAGATTCATTGCCTCTACTCCCTTCCTAGCTACTCACTCTTCTACCACTTTCTAATTTCTGTCCTCACTACTTTACTGAAACAACTCTCACCAAGAACATTAATTATATTCTTATCACCAAACCTAATGGCTTTTTTTTCTTTTCTCCTTGCCTTTGGCATTTGATGCTTTAGACATCTTCTCCTGGTTACCTTCTACTCCTCTATCTTTATACCATAGGATTCTTAAAGTTCACCTCCAACCACTCTGTTCCTTTTCTGATTTCTTTGATGACTCCTTATCCTCTTACACCGTAAACATGAGTATTTTCTAAGATTCTGTCCTAGACCCTTTACTCACTTGGTGATCTTCATTCTGCTTCCCTGGTGCCTTCACACTGCACATTTCATCCCCATCCTTAAACTCTCATTTAACTCATCTAACCATCCCCACTGGGTGTCTTCCTATAACTCTCCTCTCCTTTGTGGCAAAACTCCTTGAGGAAGTCATCTACAATTAGGATCTCCAGTTGTTCTCCTCTCACTCTATTCTAAAACCCTTTGACCTCATCATTCAAATGAGACTCTACTCTCCAAAGATATTTTCACTGCCAAATCTAATGGCTTTTTCTCAATCCTCATCCTTCTTCAACTCTCTGTAGTCTTTGACACCATCTAAAACCCTTTTCCCCTGGATATTTGTTCCTCTCTAGGTTTTTGCGACACTGTCCTCTCCTCCTTGTCCTCCTGTCTGACTGACCACTCCGCCGTCTGCTTTGCTAGATCTTCTTCCCCATGCCCAATAATTGTGGATGTTCCCCAAGGCTCTGTTTCCAATTCTTTTATCCCTCTGTACCAAGGATCAGCAAACTATGTCCTGCAGGTCAAATCCACCACCTATTTTTGCATGGCCTCAGCTAAGAATGTTTTTTTACATTTTTGATAAAGTTTTATGCTATTTGAAAGTGTAAAAACTATTCTTCACTCACAGACTGCATTAAAATAGGTGATGAGCCTTTTTTGGCCCTTAGCCAGCAGTTTGTCAACACCTCTATACTATCTTTCCTGGAGATCTTATCAGCTCCCATGGATTCAATAATTATCTCTATACAGATGATTCCCAGCTCTCTAAATCCAGCCCCAACTTCTCTTCTGAGCTCCAGTCTCATATCACTAACTGCCTTTTGAATATCAGGAACTAGATGTCATCTCAATGTCAACATATCCAAAATGGAACCTATATTTCCCTACAGACTCTACCATCTTCTAAACTTTCCTGTTATTGTTAAGCCAAAACCATCTTCACATTCACCCAGCATGTCCAATATATTGCCAAGTCTTCACGTTTCTACCTTCAAAACATCTTTCATCCACGTCTCCTTTTCTCACATAGTTGCCACCCTCATGCCTGGACTACTGCAGTAGTCTTCTCATTGGTTTCCTAACTTTGAGTCTTTGTCCTCCTTAATCCATTCTCCTCCCAGCTATTAAAGTTATTTTCCAACTATATCCCCCCCACCCCATTCAATAAATTCTAATAGCTCCCTGTTACTTCTTGGATCAAATAAAAGTTTTCTGTTTATTACTTAAAGCCATTTATTTTACAGTCTGGCCCCTTCCTATCTTTCCAGTCTTGTGCTTTATTCCCCTCCATCTATTCTTTGATATGGTAACATTGTCCTTCTTACTGTTCCCTGCACATAACACTCCATCTTCCCTATATATCTCTTCCTGTTGAAGCTTTTTCCTTCAAAGCTCAATATAAATGACACCCTATTAAAGAAGCTTTCTCATATGCACTTCAGTTAAAATGTTCTTTCTCCCTTCAGTTTTCTCATAGCTGACTGAGTCACCTAAGCTCCTATAATATTCTTCCTTGTGTCATACTAATTTGTATATGTGTTATGTGCCTCCGCTACTAGACTGTGTACTTCTTGAGAGCTGGAACTGTCTTTTGTTTGTATTTCTTCCCCCCGCACCTAGCACAGTGTCTTGGGTTTGGTAGGTTTTAATAATAAATGGTTTTTTAATTGAATTGTTATTTTAGTATTAAATACACTTTTATTAGAGACTGTCAATTACATTAAATATACCAGCCAGGAGATGGTTTGTGCTCAGAATAAATGGGACTAGACTGAAAAGAAATTAGAATTAATTTCCATGAAGCTTTGTAACTATCTAACGCCAGATTTCCAAATCTAAAAAGACAAAAGCATGGAAAAAAAAACTTTTCCTTAGGCCATATTAACATCACTATCACATTTAATGCAATTATATTCTATCTAATCACTCATCACTATTGATATGGTAGATATATTTTTATTGTGTTGAAGTGTTGTAATATCACAATTGCTTCATCAACACTTGGCCCCATTAAATAGCTCCATCTACAGAAATCATTTGGGGAATTTTTATTAAATCATCCCAAGGGGCTTTGAGATAGACAAATTTTAAATTATAAGTTAATGTATCTGACTTGTTGACTGACTAGAGTCAACAATCACTTATTAAGCACTTATGTGCCAGGTACTTTTCTCAGTGCAAAGGATACAATTTAAAGAAGGCAAAACCACAGGCTCCCCAAGAGGTGTGAATTTTACACAGATGCTCTTTCATTACAAAAGGATCCACAAAACGTGGGGAATCCTTCCCAGTAGACATCTTCATATTTTTCAGTTAACAAAGAATGTGGGAGAACTACATATATGAGCCCCCAAAGAAAAAAACCTACCAGTTTATACCACTCATTTCAATAATAAAGAACTGAAGTTCTAAAAAATACTTTGCAATGTATAGGAATAAATAAAAGACGTGCAGAATATCCTCTCATTTTAAGTAACATTCTGATAAGTCGGAGCTATAATTGAAAAGACTCATGAATAAAATGCATATTCCAACTATTGTAGTAAAGTAAAAATCATACAGAAAATAGGGTCAGGGGCAGCTAAGTGGATAGAACACCCGTCTTGGAGTCAGAAGGATCTGAGTTCAAATCCAACCTCAGACACTTGACACTTACTAGCTGTGTGACCCTGGGCAATTCACTTAACCCCATTGCCTAGCCAAAAAAAAAGGAAAGACAGAAAGAGAGAAAGAAAGAAAATAGGGTCAGTAAACAATGAGATCAACTGAACTTCTTTCCTAAAATCATCTTTGTAATGCTTCTTAAAGGTTGAATTTAGTATTGCCTTCAACCGTCTTCCCATTAATATATGATTGAGGCCAAATCAATATAAATATGCAGTTGAATTAGGATAAGTTTGGTTTAAGGTACTACTAGATTGATTTTTCTTATAATTGAGAAAATGTACATATTATCCATATTTTTTAAACTTATAGTGAATGAGAAAATGTAGCAGAGAGGTCCATACAATTCTGAATTCCTTGTTCATTCAAAGGATGAAGATCAACAATACCCACTGAGGAACTAGCCTTAAAAAGTAGCATGCAAATGTTTTAAACACATCCCTGTTAAAAAAAAAAAAAAGACAGACTGAGTGACGTCTCAAGGGACCCCACTAAGCCTTATGAGTTTTTACTGTTGCAGGTGGGAGGTGGAATGTATGTTCATACGGTATAGAATGTTGCCTTTATTTAATTGAGGAGTGAATACATTCTAGATTTTTAGAGCAAATCCAAAGGCTTCATGTATTTCTGGTCATTATTTTCTTGGTCATTTCTTTAAAAAACTAACAATGGAGATTTGGTATTCAACCCAATTATTTGTGCTTTCAATTATGCAGTTCAGTTAATTATGTTTGTGGAGTAGATAATTACCTTATCTTCACTCTGATTCATTTCACAATATAGAGTAACCTCATGCAAATCCCTTTACTTATATTTATTCCATTTTTCTCCACTAAAATAAATTTTTTTTCATTTACTTCTTAAGAACTTTCTGAGCAGTGATGATTTTGATTCAGTAAGCTTTTATTAAAAGGTCTGTTGTATGCAGAACAGAGTATGCACTGGGTGCTCAGGCATATACAGGGCTATAGAAATTTGAACTATTGTGATTGTTGTCATTATTAAACAAGGTATGCCCCTGCCCTTATACATATTATAGTCTAGTTAAAAGGTGAAATGAATACAAATAGCTAGTATGAAATAATGTGTAATAAGTACATTAGAGAAGTATTAATGGCAATGTGTACAGTTGAGAGAAAAAAGGATACTATTCACTGTCAAGAGGTTTCATGGAAGGGCAGACATTTGAATTGGGCTTGATAGTAATTTTTAAAAGTTGCCAGGGCAACATGGAGGTAGGAAACAGTAAAAATAAAAGCATGGTGACAAAAAAATTCAGAATGTGTTAAATAATAGAGTTCAGTTTGATTGGAACATTGAATATTTAGAGGGAACTACTATGAATAATGTTGGTCAGGTTGAGTGGTACTAGACATGTAAGGAACAAAATTGTACATTTGTTATTGCCTTAAAGTCTTGAATGATATTGATGGTTTTTTCTTTGTTTTTAAGATATTAGGAGATCAGAAGAGCTCTCTTTGTTAAAACCATCAGATGATTTTTTGAAAAAGAAAAAGAAAAAAGAAAGGAATAATAGAGAGCCTATAATTGAAGACATTTTAAATTTAGACAACTCTCTAACCATTTCAGGTTCTCCAGGTAAGACTACAAAGTAGCTCTGTGTTTATGTTTACAACATTTCTTAAAATCAAGAAAAAACTTTATTCTTGTTCTTTCCTACACTAAAAAAAATTGCTCTAATTAGGAAATATCCCAGTATCTTTGAAATAAGCTTATTGTAATTTTCTCTAAGTTTCTTTCAAAGCATTATTGACAACTTATTAAAGCACTGTTATTTTGCTTACAATCTACAAATCCAGTGACACAGCTATGAATTGGAGAGGCACCAGTCAAAAATTTCAAAGAGGTCTTGTTTACTGTTTGATAATTATAAAATAAACAAGCCTCTGTTTCCCTTACAATACAGGTCTAGTTACTTGGGCAGTATTTACTCCTAGGAGTAAGGGAGGAGGAAATCTGTAGCTCCCCTATGCAAACCAAAGCCAGGTGAGTTATTAACACAAGCTGCCTACTAATCTTCAGAAACGGAGTGTTTAATTTAAAGGATTTATCTGGAATGATTATGGTTTGCAACTGGAAGAGAGACTTGAAAGTCTCTACTGACGTTGTAAATTCTCCTTTTTAAATTAGTAGGTAGGGAGTATTCCCCTTGCTCTGAAATCTGGGTGAGTTAACTTGGGATCTTTTCAGCCTCTGGGTCACAAACCCTTTCAGGAGCTATCTCAGAAGTAACTATGCCTATCATAAATCCTATAAATGCTTTTTATCTACAGGTGCTTAGGGACCATGATTCATAAACTAGATTGTGTGAATTTTTTATGGCTTAAAATATGAAACTTGTTCTGGTGAAATAGGGTGGTACAATAAAGAGTTGGCCTTAAGAAGATTTGGCTTCTGGTCAGTCTCTGAAGCCTATTGGCTGGGTAGCCTTGAACTTCTCAATGCCCCTGGCCTTTCTCTCAAATTACAAATTGCAAAACAGTTGACAATTTGCACCAGTAGAAAGAATTTTTTCATTGGGAGTTTCTTAACAACAATAACACTATGGATCAAGCTTCCCTCCAAACTGTAGCATTAGTGATTTGATGTTGTTTTTGATGAGGTATATCCTTAGATTGTTGTTACCTCTAAGTCCCATATTACATTTTGGGTTCTATCTGCCTTACAGCAAGTCCTGGCTTATACAGTAAAACAATGACTCCTATTTATGATCCTGTCAATGGAACGCCTGTTTCTTCTACCATCACTTGGTTCAGTGATAGTCCTCTGACAGAACAAAGCTGTAACATCCTTGCTTTCAGCCAACCCAGCCGCTCACCAGAAACACTTGCTGAAATGTTCCAGCCTCAGTCTCTAGTTGATAAAGCCAAACTTAATGCAGGGTAAGGCTACCTCTCCTCATTGCGTCATTGTAAGCTGGTGTTTGCATGATAATGTAAATGCTTATGTTGGGGTGCTGTGTGCTTCTTAAAAAATCAGTACTGATTTTGAAATGGAAATTGGGATTCGGACATTTAAGTAAATTTTAAAATTTAATGAATTTGACATACCCAACTTGTATGTTGCTTTCTACTGTGTCTCTTTGGTTGAAGTGGAAGGAGAACCATGCAGAATTTCTAAGCTCATATTGTTCCTGAAGGCTGTTTTCAAAGCTGTTTCTTTATGGATGCTTTCTTACATTTTTTTTGTTGTTGTTTAATGGATTGAGTGAATATGAGCAGCCTGCAACAGATAAGAGATAAGGAACTTGGAAGAACTGGATGTCACCAGGCAAATATCTTAACGAAAAACAAAAAATGGGCTTCTAATATGTGCAGAGAAAGGAATGATAGCTACAGAGCCCAGATGCTCCACTCATATCCTCAAAATGTCAAATAAAAGTGAGGAATTGAGAGGTCCCACTGTGGTGAACTTATGGGGAACAAGGAAAAGAGTTGTACGGAATAGGCTGTTCCATGTTGGAGGGGTCATACATATGAATGGGATCACAAATACGTTTGAGAATCTAAGTATACTTTTTAATAATAATAATAATAATAACAACAACACATACAGCACTTTTAAGTTTACAAAGTGCTTTACAAATATTATTTCATTTTATCCTCACAACTCTGAGAGATAGATGCTTTCATTATCCCCATTTTACAGATGAGGAAACTGAGGTAGATAGAGCTTATGTGATTTGCCCAGGGTCACATAACTAGTAAGTGTCCAAGGCAGGCTTGAACTCGGCTCTTCCAGACTCAAAACCCAGTGCTTTATCTACTATACCACCTACCTGCCTCTATTGATTATAGAATAAGCATTCCACTATTTCTGGAAGTCTACAATCCTTTCTCTTAAACTTTAAGTTTTATTTTTTGCTTTAAAAAATAAGATACAGGGGCAGCTAGGTGGCGCAGTGGATAGAGAACTGGCCCTGGAGTCAGGAGGACCTGAGTTCAAATCCGGGCTCAGATACTTGACACTTACTAGCTGTGTGACCCTAGGCAAGTCATTTAACCCCATTGTCTAGCCAAAAAAAAAAAAAGATACAGTTTATGAGTTGAGCAGGATAGGGGAAGTGGAGTCCTATATTCTAGACCCAATTTCACTAACCTAGGATCTTGGAAAAGTCATTTTTCATTTAACTTCTCAAAACTGCAGATGGAGGTGAAAATTTCTGCCCAGCCTACCTCACAAGAATTTTGTAACTAATTTATATAGAAATCTTCTGAAAACTATAAAGCATTATATAGCTATAAGTTATTACTATTCAGTAGTCTTCCTCATCAGTTACTTGTTTGGCTCAATCATTCTTGCCCAGTGACTTTATTTCAAGGATCTAAGTGTAAGAAGGAGCCATGGTACAGTGGAAAGAGGACTGGATTTGAAGTCCAAGGACTTGAGTTCAAATCTAGCCTCTGCCATCTACTAATAGTGTTTCCTTAGGCAAATCGTTTGCTGGTCCTCATTATCCTTATCTGTACCATGAGGGGTAGGAGTGTGGGATAGATGTCCTCCTAAGGTCCTTTCTAGCTTTGTTTATGATATCGTGAAATTAATTTTCTTTGTAACTCAATTGTTTTCTTTTTTCAGTTGGCTAGACTCATCCCGCTCTCTTATGGAACAGGGCATTCAGGAAGATGAGAAACTATTGTTACGCTTTAAATACTACACATTCTTTGACTTGAATCCCAAAGTAAGATCCTATTTTTTGGTCACATTCAAATCAATGTATAAATTCCAAGCATTAAAAAAAATTATAGTCAAAATAAACTGATAGTCTGACATCTATTTAGTGAGACTATTTTTAGAATGATAAAATGTGTTTAGTGTTTTACATTTCCACATTGTATTTTGTTTGACCATTACAACCAGCTCTTAGCTAGAATTTAATAGATGTCATATGCATCTTCCAGTTTCTTCTCTTCTCCCTTTAACTGAAATCCCATGTGTCTTTTAAAGCCCGACTCTTTCCAAAGACACCCTCTCTGATTTGTCTAGCCCACACTGAGCACTCCATTCTTTGATGTGCTCTTCTACTTCTAGTAAAAGGTGAAAGATGTATTGAAAATAAAGAAAACCCTGCATACTTCTAGTAAATAACATGCTATCGAGGACCAAACTTCTCTCATTTGTTTCATATCGGTTGGTGGTGGTATCTCTCCTGCTAGCCGTTGTTGAAGACTCTACTGATACTTTTTCTTTATCCTCCACCGTGCTGAACCATGGCAAGTGTTCACTAAAGACTTGTTTGGGTGATTGATATAGCACAGGAACTGTGAGTCATAATTGAATTAGATAAGACTGATATATGACCCTGTCACAGCTTCCTGGCTAGAGAAAAGCCCTTGTACCTAGTCTTTGAGGCCCAGTATTCCCATACTGTGGTCCTTCTTTGTCAGTACCCTTTGCAAATCATCTGCAGAATTACTGAAGGTGAATTAAAAGTGCGCTTTAACGTTAAGTACCCTGATGAGTCAAGTTCTTACATGAGTATTAAACATGGCCTGGTTATATGAAACATTTTCCTCATGTAGAAATTAAAGGTGACTAGGAATATTATTCTAGTTCTTCATAGAGGGAACCAAATAACAATTAAAGACGGGGACAGTGTGAAGAACTCTTTTCAGTAAGCCAAAAGAAAAGGATTAATGGAAAGGTGGAACACTGAGCTGGAGCAGCCAAGACAATTGGGGGAGGGGACGATGGAGAAATATTTTTTACTGTGTGAAAAGGAGACAGAGAAAGCCTAGGTTTGGCAGGAAAGGAAGAAGAAAAGCAGAGAGGTTAACATAGTAATAATGAATATCCTTCCCCAATTTGCAAACAGATTGATAAAGGCTTGAATATCATCAGTGACACAATAGAAGCTATGGACAAACAATCAAGGACATAATTTTAAAACTTGCCTGAAAGTAGCAATAAAGAACTAGATGCCGAGGTGGGGAACCTGAGGCCTGGAGGTCACATGTGGTCCTTTAGTGAGGCTCTTTGAATCCAAACTTCACAGAACAAATCCCCTTAATAAAAAGATTTGTTCTATAAAACTTGGAGTCAATCAAAAGGCCACACCCAAGGACCTAGAAGGCCACAGGTTCCCCATCTCTGAATTAGAGTATGCTATATTAAGTGATATTTCAGAAGAGGCAAAATTTGTGGAATTTGACATTAGAAATGTATCCCAATGTTAATATATAAATAATTATGTTTAGTCAGTATTAACCATTTTTTTTAGCTATAAATGTATGTTCTACTGTGTAAGCAGCTGCAAAAATGCTTTTAATCAGAACTGTACACTTCAGTGTCAGAACCTTCCTTACTGGGAGACTCACATAACCCAGGTGGCACTTGCCAGTTACTCTGGGGCAGGTTATTCCATTTTTTGACAACTCTGATTTAAAAAAAATATATATATATATATATATATATATATATATATATATATATATATATATATACATATACATACATACATACACACACACACATATGGAGAGACAGAAGAAGAAACGATGGTGATTAAATTTCTTATAACTTTACCTAATATTTTTCCAAGAGAAAAGATGACTGCCAGGAATAGAGGTATCAGTTTCAAAGAGACAGTGTGGCTTAATAGAAAGCTCAGTGTCAGTATCAGCTGTTATTATTACGAATAAACAGTGAGGTAATAGGCAGAGTCCCTTGCATATCTAACTCTAAATTCATGTGCTATAAATATCACAACAACTTGTGTTCTTTAAGTTAGAGTGACTTAAGTCTCCTGCTATTCTTGCAGAAAAAATGGAGAGATGTCAGCTAGATAGATGACAGTACAATTGGATGGCTTTGATACTGATTAAATGACTGGACCAAAGAAAGAGAATCATAAATTTAGAACCTGAAGGAACCTTGGGGAGTAGTGTAGAGGAAAGAGAACCATCTTTGGACTCAGAGGACCTGGGTTTGAATCCCAGTTCTGCCACTTATCCTGTGTGACCCTGGACAAGTCTCTCAACTTCTCTGGCCTTCAGGTTGCACATCTGTAAAATGAGGGAACTAGTCTAGGAATAAGCTCCCTTCTAGGTCTGAGTCTGTAATGTTACTATCCTTAAAAACTGAAAAGTATAACCCATTGGATAACATAGGTTATGAAAAAAGATGTTGATAGTCAAGAACACTGATTGATTCTAATCGGATGGAATAAATGTAGTCTTATACTTTGATTAAAACAAACTTCACAAGTACAAGACGAGGGAAGCTGTCTAGATGGCAGTTTGAAAAGTATTGAAGGTTTTAGTGTGCTGCAAGTACAATGTGAGTCAGTTGTATGATGGGGCAGCCAAAAAAGCTGAGCTAACTTGAAAGGTATAATGCCCAGGATTAGGCAAATGAGAGTCATACTGAGCACTGCTTTAGTCAGACCAACCCAGAGAATGGTTTTCAGTTCTGGGTACCATATTTTAGAAAGCACAGGGATAAGCTAAGAATAGTTCAGAGGAAGCCAACCAGGAGGATGAAATGGCCCAAGGTCAGGACAGGGATTGGCCAGAGGAACTTGAGATGTTTCTGCTGAAAAAGAAAAGCCTTGGGCAGTAGGGAATGGTAGCCATCCTCCAATATTTGGAGGGCTATCAAGTGGTAGAGGAATTAAGACTTGATCTTCATGGCCTCAGAGAGCTGGAGGGGCAGTGGATGGAAGCCTCAAAGAAATGACCTTGGGCTTAATATAAGGAAAAACTCCATAACAAGTGGAGCTGTCCCAAAACAGTGTGGATGCTTTGAAAAAGAGTGAGCGGGTCCTTTCTTGCTGGAAGTCTTCAAGTAAAGAATAGATGGCTACCTGTTAGGGAGGTTGTTAAGGGATGGGATTCTTGTTCATATACAGATTATGTTAGGTGTTATTAGCAATCTCATCTAACTCTGAGCTTATGATTTAAAATAACTTCATTTTGAAACTGTGTTTTAAGAATTGTGTGACATTCCTTAAGACAGGGGTGGGGAACCTGCAGCCTTGAGGCCACATGTGGCCCTTTATGTCCTCAAGTGCGGCCCTTTAACTGGCTCCAAACTTCACAGAATAAATCCCCTTAATAAAAGGATTTGTTCTGTAAAACTTGGACTCAGTCAAAAGGCTACACCCAAGGACCTAAAAGGCCACATGTGGCCTTCAGACCCCCAGCTTCCCTACCCCTGCCTCAAGATGTTCTCAAAACAATCATTGAAAGTCACCCTTCTTGGTTCTCCAGCCATCCTCTGACTTACTGAGAGCTTCATATCTAATTTTACCCTTATCTCTTCACAATACCAGTGAGAGACGTGTCTGAACAATTTTTCACATTACCTACTTATCTGGCAGTGTGATTTGCTGATTTTGACATAACTAAAATGTTTATCTCATGCTCATGATCTTTGCTCTGAGAAACTATGATTATGTGTAAATGACAGGTGAAACACAGAAAATTATAGAATCACGCAGAATTTTAGAGTTGGAAAGGACCTCAGAGGTTATTTAGTACCACCCCTATCTGAATCATGGATGCCACCAAGACTATCCCAAACAAATAGTCATCTCCCCTCTTGAGTAAAGCATTCCAGAGATAGACCACTCCCTACACCTGGGGGAGTCCATTCCATTTTTGAAAAGCACTAATCATTAAGAAGTTTTTCTTTACATTGAACTAAAATCTACCTTCCTGTAACTTTCACCCATTGTTTGTAATTCTCCCATTTACAACCAAGCAGAAAAAAAGTATTTTCTCTCCCATGTGAGCTAATGATAATTCCATTTGGGAATTGTCTGAGCCCCTTATTTTTCATTCCTTCTTCTTCCCCCTACCTACTATTCACCATTTTCACAATTTATTAATACAGTCACCAGCTCTGGTCCCAGACCAAGCCCTGCTTGGTCACTGTTTGGGCCCTGATTGGCTCAGAATGAATGTAAATAACAGTTGTTTCTGTTTTGGCCAGAAACCCTGAGGTTCTTCCTCTCTCAGATCTATTTTTTTTTAAAGAGGCCATTCTTTGCCTCATTTTTTAAAGCCTTAATCACTGAATGGGTGCTGCCTCAGCCAAACTGAGACCTGTTAAAGACCTTTGCTTGAAAAGGCCAAGGTCCCCCACTACACCCTGGGCCATCTCCAGTTGTCCTGATCCACATATGGCCATCGGACCCAGATGGCTTCAGAGGTGAAAGTGAGGCTGGTGACTTTGCACAGCCCTTCCTCACTTAAATCCAATTCACTTGCATGTCATGACATCATGTCCCTGATGTCATGGTCCTCTTTTCAAGAATGAGGACAAATAGGAAGAGAGCAAGGAAAGATGAAACAAATTAATACATTTGACTTCTTATCAGTAACTCTTGAAAACTTTTTTTCATGAGAATGAGATCCAAATCAAGGGCTAAAATAATTTGAGGGGACAAGGATCATAGTTTCTGTGAGTTTTGTACTAGCCCTCTCCCTAATTAGCAGAGGTTGTCTACAGTAGTTGACATCTTAGTGTGTTGCACAGGTTAACTATCAATGTAGATACTTTTAATAATGTTTGAACTAATGAATGAACAAATGGATTTAATCTAAAATTCACAGGTTAAGAAATATAATCTTTTCTCTCCAAACTCTTTCCCCTTTTAACTACAGTATGATGCTGTTCGAATAAATCAACTTTATGAACAAGCCAGGTGGTCCATTCTCTTAGAAGAAATTGATTGCACTGAGGAGGAGATGCTGATCTTTGCTGCTTTACAGGCACGTATGAGTATACTTTTCAGCAAGTGGGCAAGGAGAGTTAGAGCCATGATAAGAATCCATTGGGAAATCTATTATCATGCCATCTTGCTTAAAGTTTTCAATCTTGTGATTTTTTTTTCTCTTGAGTGAGAGTACAGAAAGCAGGGTTTGTTTTAGTTTTAGTTTTTTACATTTTAAAATGGTCAGCAATTGAACAAGCCATCTATGAACTCCCTAGGAAAAAAATCTCCAGGGCCAGATGGATTTACAAGTGAATTCTATCAAGCATTTAAAGAAAAATCAATTCAAATACTATTTGAGAAAATAGACAAAGAAGGAGTCCTACCAAATTCTTTGTATGATATAAATATGGTGCTGATACCTAAACCAGGAAGAGCCAAAACAGAGAAAGAAAATAAGAGACCAATTTCCCTAATGAATATAGATGCAAAAATTTTAAATAAAATATTAGCAAAGAGATTACAGCAACTTATCTCAAGGATAATACACTATGGTCAGGTAGGATTTATACCAGGAATGCAGGGAATTCAGTATTAGGAAAACTATCAGCATAATTGACCATATCAACAACAAAACTAACAGAAATCATATGATTATCTCAATAGATGCAGGAAAAGCATTTGACAAAATACAATACCCATTCCTATCAAAGACACTAGAGAGCATAGGAATAAATGGAGTCTTCCTTAAAATGATAGATGGTATCTGTCTAAAACCATCAGCAAGCATTATATGTAATGGAGATAAGCTAGAAGCATTTCCAGTAAAATTGGGGGTGAAACAACAATGTCCATTATCACCACTGCTATTCGATATTGTACTAGAAATGTTAGCTTTCGCAACAAGAGAAAAAAAAGAAATTGAAGGAATTGGAATAGGCAGCTGTCACTGTTTGCAGATGATTTGATGGTATACTTAGAGAATCCTAGAGAATCAAGTAAAAAATTACTTGAAATAATAAACAAATTTAGCGAAGTTGCAGGACGTAAAATAAACCCACATAAATCATTGGCATTTCTATATATTACCAATAAAGCCCAACAGTAAAAGGTAGAAAGAGAAATTCCATTTAAACTTAATGTAGACATCACAAAATATTTAGGAGTCTACCTCCCGAAACAAACCCAGGAACTCTATGAACACAATTACAAAACACTTTTCACACAAATAAAGTCAGATCTAAATAATTGGAAAAATATCAGTTGCTCATGGGTAAGCCAAGCTAATGTAACAAAAATGACAATTTTACCTAAATTAAATTACTTATTCAGTGCCATACTATTCAAACTACCAAAAAAAATATTTTATAGAGCTAGAAAAAACAGTAACAAAATTCATCTGGAAGAACAAAGGGTCCAGGGGAAATAATGAAAAGAAATGCAAGGGAAGGTGGCCTAGCTGTACCAGATCTTAAATTGTATTATAAAGCAGCAATCATCAGAAGTACTTGGTACTACCTAAGAAACAGAGTGGTGGATCAGTGGAATAGGTTAGGTACTCGAGACCCAGTCATCAATGACTATTGCAATCTACTATTTGATAATTCCAAAGACTCTAGCTTCTGAGATAAGAACTCACTATTTAACAAAAACTGCTGGGAAAACTGGAAAATAGTATGGCAGCAACTAGGCATAGACCCACATCTTACACCCTATACCAAGATAAAGTCAAAATGGGTACATTATTTAGATCTAAAGGCAGATACTATAAGCAAAGTAGGAGAGCAAGGAATAGTGTACCTTTCAGATCTGTGGAGGAGGGAAGAATTTATGACCAAACAAGAGATAGAGAACATTATGAAATGCAAAATGGATGATTTTGATTACATTACATTGAAAATGTTTTGCACAAACAAAGTCAATACAACCCCGATTAGAAGGGAAGCAGAAAGCCGGGAAACAATTTTTACAGCGAGTGTCTGTGATAAAGGTCTCACTTCTAAAATATATAGAGTACTGAGTTGCATTTATAAGAATATAGGTCATTCCTCAATTGGTAAATGATCAAAGGATAGGAACAGGCAGTTTTCAGAGGAGGAAATTAAAGCTATCTATAGTCATATGAAAAAATGCTCTAAATCACTATTGATTAGAGTAATGCGAATCAAAACAACGTTGAGGTACCACATCACACCTATCAGATTGGCTAACATGACAAAACAGGACAATGGAGAAGATGTTGGAACACTAATGCATTATTGGTGGACTTGTGAAATGATCCAACCATTCTGGAGAGCAATTTAGAACTATTCCCAAAGGGCTATAAAACTGTGCATACCCTTTGACCCAGCAATACCACTTCTAGGTCTGTATCCCCAAAGAGATCATAAAAACAGGAAAAAACTCACATGTACAAAAATATTCATAGCAGCTCTTTTTGTGGTAGCAAAGAATTAGAAAATTGAGGGGATGCCCATCAACTGGGGCATGGCTGAACAAGTTGTGGTATATGAATATAATGGAATACTATTGTGCTGTAAGAAATGATGAGCAAGTAGACTTCAGAAAAACCTGGAAAGATTTATATGAATGGATGCTGAGTGAAATGAGTGGAACCAGGAGAACATTGTACACAGTAACAACTACACTTTGTGATGACTGACTTTAATACTTAGCTCTTCTCAGCAATGCAAGGATCTAAGACAACTCCAAAAGTCTCATGATGGAAAATGCTGTCCACATCCAGAGAAAGAACTTTGGAGTCTAAATGCAGATGCAGGCATACTACTTGCTCTCCTTTTCTTTTGTTGTTTTGCTTTGTTTCTTCTTTCTCGTGGTTCCTCCCATTAATTTTAATTCTCTTTACATCATGACTAAGGTGAAAATATGTGTAATATGAATGAATAAATAGAGCCTATATCAGATTGCATGCCATCTTGGGGAAAGAGGGGAAGAAAATTTAAAACTCAAAAGCTTATGGAAGTGATTGTTGAAAACTAAAAATAAATAAATTTTTAAATGGTCAGCATAACTCACAAAAAATAGTACATCTATGTAGATATGCATATATAAGTGTATATATATACATATAGAGAGGGTGGTCAATTATGATTTGATAGGTTTTATGTAATAATTTCCAAAAATCTCAGAATGACTATATAAAAGGATTATGTTAAACTCCCTGCATATTTCAAATAATATTCACTGTTGGTAACTATTTGATATTGAGATGAGGCAGGGATTAGCAATATAAATTTTGGATGCTAAAATAATATTGTTGTATTTATGGCATTTTAAAAATTTCATCTTTTTTTTTAAAGTATCACATAAGCAAATTGTCATTGTCAGCAGAAACTATGGATTTTACAAATGAGTCTGAAGTGGATGAAGTAGAAGCTGCCCTCTCTAACCTGGAAGTCACATTAGAAGGTGGAAAAACAGAAAACATTTTGGTATGAGTTTCCCTTATATGAAATGATCTCAAAACAATGACTATGTTTTTATAACTAATTGATTCTTGAAATTGATTCTTCCATTCTGTTTTAGAACATTTAACCTAATTTCTCAAAAGAAAAAGTTCTCACTCTAGGGAGATTTAAACTCATTTTTCTGATCTGTGCACCTGGGAGATAAAAGACTGAAGCTCTGTCTCTTGGAGGTGATACTTCAAATGGAATTGAGATATCCAGGATTATTTGACCACAGAAATGATTCATATGATTTTCAAATGACTCAGCTATTCAAATGAGGCCATCTAGAAAATGGTCCCAATTTTTAGCCAGACACAATGCTAGAAGAGTACTATCTGCAGAACCCCTGTTTTTCTGTCTCTGTGATAAATAATTCTTTGAGACAAGATCCTAAAAATTATGTGAAAGCACATGATAATCATTTGCTGTGAATTTTTTCTGATAGATTACTCACTTATTTGGTCAGAAGAGACAGCATTTCAGATAGGCAAAATGTAGCACATGTATAAAGTTATTCAGAATGTCAGGACTTTTAAAATTGTATTTTTTACTTGAAAAGTGATGTCCCCAAACTCATTCCAATAAAAATAATATGACCTAAGCAAAAAAAAAAAAAACAAAAAACAAAAAAGTTCTCAATCTTGGCTATAAACCTATCACTAAGACCTGATTACACTTTCACAGATAATAGATATACACATTTAGAGGGCTAATAGCTACAACAAACACTAAGCTATGTACAAGCAATTAAGTCAGGCACTGAGGATAGAAAGACAAAAAAAAATGAAACTTTAAAGAGTTCTTCTACTGGAGGATCTGGGGGGGTGGGGAAGAACACAACGTGTGCACAAATAAATGTCAGTTAAGAGGGACAGAGCACTAACAGGGGCACTTAAAGAAGGCTTCATGAAAGAAGTGGCATTTGGGCAAAGCCCTAAGAGGTTGTAACAGGCAAAGATAACAGAGTGGATCCCGGGAATAAGGCAATAACTTGTGCGAAGGCACACATATGACAAAGGGATTGTTGTATCTGGGGAACACTTAGGAGTCTAGTGTAGGTGAATCAGAGAGTTCCACGAGAGAAGTAATAAAAAGACAGCGTAGAGTAGTTCAAAAAGTGTAGGACTTAGGTCTGAAGACCTGAGTACAAATCTGGCCTCAGACCCTTACTAACTATGTGAACAGGGCAAGGGACTTAACCTCTCACAGCTTCAGTGTCTTTATCTGTAAAATAAAGTGAACAGCCCCTACATCAGGTAGTTCATAGGGTTGCTGTCAGGATAACTGTCAGCCTTAAATACTATCTCGATTTGAATTACTATTTTTAAAGATAGGTTGGAGTCAGGTTTGCAAGGCCTCATATGCCCAGGCTGAGGAGTTTGTATTTTATCCTAGAGCTAATAGGAAGACACTGGAAGTTTTGAACAAGAGAAGGATATGCTTAGATCTGTCCATTTGGAAGAATGTTTTGACAGCTGGGTGGAACACAGGTTGGAGAAAGGAGAAACTTGAAATAGGGAGACCGAATTAGAGGTCACTAGTAATCCAGGGAAAAGGTGATAAGGGCCTGAATTAGGGTCACAGCTATATGATTGGAGAGAAAATGGTGGATATGAGAGATGTTATGGAGATAGAATTGACGAAACTTAGCGAGTGATTATGCTTTACTGTTGCAGAATTCTTTTTTGTTGTGTGTGTGATTCAATAGGGGTTAAGTGACTTGCCCAGAGTCACATAGCTAGTTGCAGAATTCTCAAAGTAATGCATTTCTTGTCAAGGAAGGAGAAGGGAGCAAGCATTTATTAAGCACTTCCTGTGTGTCAGGCATTGTGCTCAGTGCTTTACAAATACTGACTCATTTCATTCTCACAACAACCCTGTGAGGTAGTTACTATTGTTATCCCCATTTTACAGATCAAGAAACTAAGGCTGATATATCAAATGACTTGCCCAGGGTTACACAGCTAGTAAGTGTCTGAGCTGGGATCTGAACTTCTGAATCTAGGCCCAGTACTCTGACCACTGTGCTGCCTAGTTGGCTCTAAGGACCAATTAATTAATAGGTTGGATAGAAAAAGCACTGGACCAGGAATCAGGAGCCACGGCTCTGAAACTATGTGTGATTTGTGGCTAGTCACTTAACCTGTGTGTGCTTCCTCTTCTGCAATAGAAGACTAATTTGGCAACATTTGCCCTACCTACAGCAGCGACTTTCTGTGAGGATTAATTGAAACAATGGACCGGCATATTATAAAATGTTTCAAAACCATTTTGAAGAGGAGAGAGTTAAGTTTGAAACACACAGAACAGACTGTTAAGGACCATAAACTAAAAAACCTTTAGGAAAATGTCATTCCTTTCAGTGCTTTTTAAACGGATGCCGTGGAGAAATGTAGCAAAGCTTCAGCCAACAATGGGATCACCACTCCTGTTTGATCCGGTCATCAACTTTCTACTACCTTTTGTTGGCCTTCCTTATCTTAAAAATAATTATAACCTTAATGATATTGACACATGATGAGAGAGGAAGTGAGCTGTTTGCACACAATTACTGACCTATAAATAGTAAGAAGGATAAAAAAGAGCTCATAACGGTGAGATGATAAGAATTACACATTTGGTATGTGTATGCATGCTTTCTTAATCTAAAAACTTTAAAGGGGAAGATCCATTCAACAAACATTTATTAAGCACATACTGTGTACAAGACAGATGAGAATAATAATTGGCATTTATATAGCAGTTTTAAAGTTTTGCAAAGCACTTTTTACACATTATCTCACTTGAACCTCCAAAGAATCCCATGAAGGAGGTTGAGCAGGCATTGTTATGCCCATTTTACAACAAGGAAATGGATTCAGGGAGGATATATGACTTACTGTTGGCACACAGCTGATAAGCATCAGACATAACGATTTAACCCAGGTCTTCCCTCACCTCCAAGTCTAGTTCTGAACCCAAAACTGTTTAAGTCAGTGTCACAGAAAAACAAACGCCTGAGAAAAAGTATATGCCAGATAAATAAATTTAGAAAACTTCCATTGTACCCACTTTAGAAATGAATGTGAAAAAAATCATCACTGATACTACACTGAAAGTAGAGTTACCATGTTGAGGAGTACTGATACTTAATTGGGAATTTAGTTGATTCAAAATGGAAGCCACAGTGCCACTATCCCCATGGATCAATGCGGCACTCTATGTTAGGCTTAAATCATAGCTATATGGTAAGGTAGAAGGATGGCAGCTGGGTAGCTCAGTGGATAGAGCACTGGGCATGGAACCAGGAAGACTCATCTTCATGAGTTCAAATCTGGCCCCAGACACTCACTAGCTGTGTGACCCTGGGCACGTCACAAAAACCCTGTTTGCCTCAGTTTCCTCATCTGTAAAATGAGCTGGAGAAGGAAATGGCAAATCACTCCAGTATCTTTCGCCAAGAAAAACCCAAATGGGGTCATGAAGAATCAGACACAACTGAAACGACTGAAACAGCAACCAGGTGGAAGGAACACTGGCTCTGCCATCTGAGGACCTGGGTTTAAATCCTTCTTCTGACATTTATTACCTATATGACCTTGGGCAAGGGCAGGTCACCAACACCTTCTGCCCCTCATCCCATCTACACCCCCCTGCCCTCTGGGTCTTGTGAAATGGGGAAGTTGGACTAGATAGTCTGATTTCCCTTCTAATAGGTTTCATTTAATTTAATCTAATTTAATGTATTTAATTCCACTCAATGCTATGGATACAAAAACACGAGTGGAAGAATCATTCTCTCAAGGAGCTCACATTCTATAAAACAACATTTATCACAGCATCATAAATATGGAGCTAAAAGGAGCTTCAGGGCTGTCTGGTGCAACCCCCCCCCCCCATTTTACAGATGAGGAAACTGAGGATCAAAGAGGTGACCCAAAGTCATACAGGCAAGAGGGGAGATTGAATTGGGATACTGCTTCCCGTATACATAAGCATATGCGAAATAAATAAACTTGCAGGGACTAAGAAGGGCTTTATTTAGAACAGGGGTACTTAACCTTTTTATATATATAATGTTTCACTTATATACATATACATATATATGTCTATTGGCATAGTGATTCACAGTGAATCCTGTGAACCCTTTCTCATAATAATGTTTCTAAATGCATAAAATACAGAGGATTATATTAAAGTTGTTCAGTCATTTCAGTCATGTCCAACTTTTTGTGACCCCCTTTGGGTATTCTTGGCAAAGATAGTAGAGTGGTTTGCAATTTCCTTCTCCGGCTCCTTTTACAGATGAAGAAACTGAGGCAAACAGGGTGAAGTGACTTGATCAGGGTCACATAGCTAGTAAGTGTCTGGGGCTGGATTTGAACTTAGGAAGAAGAGTCTTCCTGACTCCAGGTACTCTATCCTCTGAGCCACCTAGGTATCCCTGTATTGAAGTACAGTTATCAAAATATTTTTGAAAACAAAAATAAAACAAGTTCAAGATAAAAACCCTTGATGTAGAAAGTGTATGCCTGATTTGAGCCTTGAAGGAAACCAGGAATTCTAAGAGGTAGAGGTGAGGAGGGAATATATTCCATGCATGAGGGATAGCCAATAGAAAGTCACAGAGATGGGAGGTTGAGTGTCATGTATGAAGAAGAGCAAGTAGGCCTTGAGGCTGGCTAGACCATAAGTGTGTAGAGGATAGTAATGTTTAAGAAGACTGAAAAGGTAAAAGAGGGAAAGCTAAGAAAAGCTTTTAAATGTCAGAGAAATGTCTATTTGAACCTAGAGTTTTGGATCTCTGGTCCTATAACTAGCATTCCTTCTCACATACTGCCTATATTGGAAAGAAAACATGAGACAGTAGGGCTTTTTGTGTAACTTGGTCTTTGGAATATTTTTCTATGAAGTAAAATAACAGACTTTTTCATTTTAAAAGATGTACTTACTTGTATTGTGAAATGAATTTTGAACAGTTTGTTTCATGGTATTAATCTGATCCACTAATGTTGATTTCCTACATAATTTAGAGATCATTTAAAAACAGAATTTTAAAATTTTAAAAATATTGAGCAATTATTGAGTTATTTTGAAAAATATTTCTAGAATTTACTTTTTTCCTTAACCTTGCTTACTTATTAAGTGTTTTTTTACTTGTGTGAAAAATTCTGCCACTTATAAAATTACTGCTGGTAAAAAGCTGTGTTCTTCTCCATAGGAGGACATTACAGACATACCAAAGCTTGCAGACTATCTCAGATTATTTAGGTGAGTAACTACATAGAAGAACCAAGAAATCTTTGGTAATCAAAGTTTATGGATAAGGAGTTCTTTGATATTTAATGTCCAAACCCAGCCCCATATTAACAAAGATGAATCATCAACCCTGTCTTCCCCTGAGCACCAGTCAGGGCCCCAAATGGAAGCTGGGGTTATTTGCCACAATTAGAGGATCGAATCACTGTGGTGCTTTGAGCTTTCATGCTATTCTTTTAGGTATTTTTCAACTAGACACAGCTGGAATATTATTTAATAAGTGGTAGTCCTACTATAATAATTAAGTGATCAAAATTAGTTGCATGAAAGGTTTTGCCTTAATTTTTGAGAAACAAAGGCTCCAGTGGAAAGGAGTGAGTGTTGCACTTCAGAGGGTTGTATGATTTTATCTGTCTCTGAATTCAGATAGCCTTCACTGTCACCCTATGTAAAGACTTGCTAGGTTGTCAGGAAGTTTTTCCTACAAAAGAAATGATTGTCAAGTCTGTGATAATGTTAAATGAGTGTTAAGATGAAAGAAATGAGACTTCTTTGAAGTTATATCAGTTACTTATGCCATATTATGATTTGTTGATTTTTCTCAGCAAACAGACTTAGAGCGCTTAACTTCAAAAAAAAAAAAAAGTCACCACAACACTGGCAGGTTTGTTTATAACCAAGTCAAAGGGCAAAGGAAAGACTTTCAAAAACAGGTTCAATGAATGATAACACATAAATGTAACACAAGTGTTCAAAGGGTGTTTTCTTATATTGTATTTCTGGTACTGAATCAGTCACAGACAATATTTTGTCATTCTGGCCATGGATTTATATAGGTATAATCCTGTTTCCCCCTTTTTCACAAATATGCTGAAAAACAAAGTTACAATTGAAAACTCGGTTCTCTAGAGATTAGTTTGCTATATTCATTAGTCATGTTACAGGTCTAGATTATCAAAAACCAAAACACTTACCTATGATTTTATTGGTAGTTACAGAATCATGAGATAGAATTTCAAAGTGGTTAGAGAGCTAGTCTCTAGAAGAGGACCAGGTAGAGAGGGCTGATCTGCTTCAGTAGAGATAAATTTCTCAGCCTGAGTTTCCTATATGATAGAATCAGGAGTCCAAACTGAAAAAGGAAAAAGAAAACAGGTCACAATATCACCAAATTTCAAAGTCTCAGAAGTCTATCCCATACCCGAACAAGAATCTCCTGAACAACATATGTATTCAATATTTTCTTGAAGACTTCCAGTGAAGGTGGGACCATTTACCTCCCAATTCACTTTGGTGGAGCTATATAATTGTTAGGAAGTTTCTCCTTACATTAAACTCTAATTTGCTTCTTTTTAACTTCAATTTAACAAGCATACATTAAGGACCTACTTATACAGCACAGTTCTCTGCTGGGTACACACACACACACACACACACACACACACACACACACACACACACACAAAATACAACCATTCCTACCTTCAAAGAGCTCAAATTCTGTTGGCAGAATACTATCTGTATGCAAGGAAGTATCTACCAAATTCGTCCTCCTTCTACCCTTGAGGGCCAAGCAGAACAAATCTCATCCTTCTTCTAAGTGGTAGTCATTCAAATATTAGAAAAGAACTATCATGTCCACACCAAGTCTCTTCTGCAGGCTAACCTTTCCCATCTGCTTCAGTAGATCTTCATGTGACATGTTCTCCAGGCTTTTGCCCAACTGGGAACCCTCCTATGGACCCACTCCACATTAGTGCCTAGAATCATAGGATCATAGATTTAGAGCTACAAGAGACCTTGGACTTTTACACCTCTAATTTTAAAGAAGAAAGAAGACCTAAAGAAGTTAAGTTAATCAATCAGTAAATATTTATTAAGTGTCTACATGTGCCAGACACCTGTGCTAAGTACTGGGGATACTAAAAAAAAGGCAAAAGATAGTCCCTGACCTCAAGGAGCTTACACTCTAATGGAGAGATATTATGCAAATAAATATATGCAAAGATAGCTACAAACCTGATAAATAGGAAATAATTAGCAGAGGGAAGGCACTGGAATTAAGAGGGCTTGGCAAGTACTTCTTACAAAATGTAGGATTTAGTTGAGATTTAAAAGAAGCCAGGTTACTGAGGTAGTAAGGAACACAGCCAAAATTCAAACCCAGATGGTCTGGAACCAGAAGCATCAACTCTGTTCTGCATCCTTTTATCAATGTCTTTCCTAAAATCGGCCACTCAGAACTGATAGTATTTGACAGAGGTAGCCTGACTAGGGCATAGCACTACAGGGCTGTAATCTCCCTATTTCTACTTCTCTTACTTCAGCCTAATACTATATTAGTTATATCTTTTGGCTGCCATATCATACTTTTAACTCATATTGAGTTTGCTCCCTATTAAAACCCCCATATCTTTTTCAGATAAGCTGCTACCTGATCAGACCTCCCCAATCTTATACTTATGAAGCTGGAATTTTTTAAACCAAGTTCAAGACTTTACAATTATCCCTCTTAGTTTAATCTTTATTTTTTAAAATATATATTTTATGAAGATGACAGACATTAACAACTATCAATATTTTCTTACATAAAGAATACAAATGGTAGGTGCAGCTAGGTGGCACAGTGGATACAGTGCCAGGCCTGGAGTCAGGAAAACCTGAGTTTACTTGTAGCCTCATACAGTTACTAACGTAAGTGTGACCATTGGCAAGTTACTTAAGCTCTGTTTATCTCAGTTTCTCCATGTGTAAAATAGCGATAGCAATAGTACCTATCCTCCAGGGATGTCACAAGAATCAAGTGATATAATAATTGTAAAGCACTTATAACAGTGCTTGGCACACAGTAAATACTACATAAATGTTTGCTATTGATGTTAGCCATTATTGCATACATACACGTATACACATGTATTTGATGTTTTATTGACATTTTTTTCTACTTTTTTTGGTATCACTACCACAAACCTTGCCTTGTAACAATTAAGTATAATTAAGCTAAACCTACCTACTCGTTGGCCCTGTTTAAAAATCTATGCCTTGTTTTGCAATTCTAGAATCACCTCTCTGGCAAGAGGTACATACAGATCACCATCAGTCTTCTCGAGTCATGAATAGTCATTACATTGAACATGGTTTTTAAGTCTTTTACAATCATTTTCTTTTACAATGTTGTAGTCATTGTACAAGTTATTCTGTTTCTGCTCACTTGATTCTGCAGCCATATGTACAAGTCCCACCCCTACCACCCTGGTTGCTCTGAATACTCCCCTTTCTTTCAAAAATATTCCATTACAACCATATATTTGTTCAACCATTTCTCCATTGATGGGAATTCACTTTGTTTCCAGTTTTGTGTGTGTGTGTGTGTGTGCGTGTGTTTTAAAATTTGTTTACAGAAATTGCTATTACAAATGCTTTTGTATAAGTGGATACACAGTGTGTGTATACATATTGTGTTTGCAATAATATTTTACGTTTTTCTTTCCCTCTTTCTTTGAGTTCTTAGGGGTTTGTATGCAGTAGTAGTATTGCTAGGTCAGCAGTTGCATACCCATTAGTGACTTTTTTGGCCACAGTACCAAACTGGTTCTTTTGGATGATTGAATCAATTCACAACTCCACCAAAAGGGCATTAATGTACTTGTCCTATCACAGCTCCTCCAACAACTAACATTTTCCATTTTTGTCATCTTTGCCAATCTAATAGCACTTCAGGAATGAACTTCAGGGTTATTTTAATCTACATTACTCTTATTTTTAGTGACTTGAAAGATTTTTTTCATAAATGTGTTGATAGCTTGTCTTTTATGAACTGTCTGTCCATATTAACTATTATCTATTGGGAAATGGCTCTTGTTCTTATATATTTGTTTTCAATGTCCTATATAACTTATATATCAGACCTTTATAGGGAAAACTTAAAGAGAAACTTCCTAGATTCAAAATATTATTCCATGTCAAGATCCTTTTAGATCCTGTAATCTTTTGTTTTATTGATTCTTCCTAGCTTTGTGTTATCTGTGCGTTTGATTAGAAGCCATTTATGCCTTTATGCATTGATTATCCAAGTCATTAATAAACACATCCCTGGGATACTCCACTGGGGACTTCATCCCAAATTAACATTGAACCATTAATGACTATTCCTGGGATCCAGCCATTCAACAAGTACTAAGTTCACATAATAATACAATCATATGTCCTATTCCTCTTTATATTCTCCACAAATGTCTCATTAAAATGTAGGCAAATAGGGGCAGCTAGGTAGCACATTGGATAGAGTGTTGGCCCTGGAGTCAGGAGGACCTGAGTTCAAATCCAGCCTCAGACCTTTGATACTAGCTGTGTGACCCTGGACAAGTCACTCAACCCCATTGCCTAGCCCAAAAAAAAAATGTAGGCAAATGATATATCAGGATCACAGATTTAGAACCTGAAGGAACAAATAGTCTAGACCTTTAATTATACAGTAGTTAATTGAGACCCAGAGAGGTTACATGACTAGCCTGAGGTCACACAGGTTGTAAGTGGCAGAGCTAGGATTTTAACTAAGGACCACTGACTTCAAATATAGTCCACTTTCTACTGTACTATGTTGCCACCCTACAACATTCTCCTTATTTACTAGTTAACAAATAAGATTGGAGCTTGACTGATTGACAATAAAGCTATGTGAGCACTTCATGATCACCACCATGCCCTCTTCTAAATATTCATTAACTATCTCTTAAATAAATATGTATGCATATGTTTCTGTATATATATTTATATGTGTGTGTGTGTGTGTATATACACATACATGTATACATACATATATAAATATAATTTTAAAGAATTTTGCCAGGAGTGAAAAATCAATGTCACTGGCCTATACTTGACAGATTCTGTCATAGATCTTTTGGAAAACTGGGACATTTATCCAGCTCTAGTATACTGAAGAACCTCTATAGCAACCATTGGTAGTATTCTTCCATTTAGCATTGTATATAATTCATAGTATCTTTCTCACATTTCTCCTTTCTATTGCTTCTTTTCCAGTTTCCTTTTACTTACCCATTTCTTTCTTTTCCCTTAGCTAGTAGCACCCCAGGAATTACTTCATACTGTTGGTGATCCTCAGGGGTCCAAGGGCTGCTGGCCCTTGCTTAATGATTTTTCAAAACAAATATTTCTTTTAAAATTTGAGATGTTCACATCTTGGCTAGTGCTACCTTTTAAAAATTAATTATTAATTGAAAAATAATATCATTTTAAACTAAAATAATTCCCAATGTTAAATGTGTCAAGTAGAAACTAGGAAACTCCCTCATTTTTGTAATGATTATCAAAGTTTTGTACTGTTCTCATGAATATTATTTTCTGTCTAAGAACTGTTCTAGATATCACCAGGTATATGTATTTTCATACAAAAAACTGATTTCAAGTTTTTATAAATAAATTGGTAGGCAGCTGGATATAATTGAAAAAGAACACCATCTAGAGTCAGAAAACTTGTATTCAAATCCTCAATCCCAGTTCTTGTACTAACTGTCTATGTGACTGAACAAACCATTTAACTTCTCTAGCCCTCAGTTTCCTCATCCATAAAATGAGAGTGCTGGACTGAATGGCCTCATTCCATCTCTAAATTCTGCAATCCTCAAATTACAAAATGATTTAATATATTATAAATTATATGAAAGAAGCACTAGAGGAGAGTATCCTTCTTTTTTAGTATCCTGTTCAAAATTATATGTGCATTTGTTTTTCTTGGAACCATTAAGCTATTATTCTTTCATTTTCAGATCCAAAAAACTAACATTAAAAACTTTCAAACAGTATTGGTTTGTCTTTAAAGACACTTCAATAGCCTACTTTAAAAATCAAGACCTTGAACAAGGGGAACCACTTGAAAGACTGCATCTTAGAGGTAAGAATATTCAGTGGCAAATTGAATTATCATCATTAATCTAACAAATTAAAGGTAGAAGAATCTTGGAAACTAAGAGATTTAGTCCAATGGTAAAATTATTTTGCATGAGTTTGAAGCGTATGTTCCATCCCCTACCCAAGTATAATCTGCTTCAAGGTCCCATTCCATATATAGAATCAGCCTTTATTACGGTACTATAAACTCTTCAATCTAGCATCCTGTTTATTAAAAACCCTCTATTAATCAGTATTTCCATACATCTGGGGAAAAATAATCAATGTTCCTAACAATGATGCTAAGGTACTACAAAATCCTGAAGTGCCTTTTGACTAATTAAGGCTTAAATTTAATTCAGGGTAGTTTTAGCATTAAGTGTTTTTATTGTATTGCAGTCTGTTTGAAAACTGGTAATTCATGGATGGCATATATGATACCTTCCTCTCTACTAGGTTCTTAATAATTGTTAAATGATTAAATAATAAGTGGTAACCAAACTGTTTGATTAATCATAAAAATTCATTTCCTTGCCATACTGGATGAAAGTAAAGTGTGCTTGATTTATTTTAGAGTTTGCATTTTTAATAGCGTATATGATTTAAGGTTAACAATCTCTAACAAATTAAATTGCTAATATATTTGAAGCAAGTAGTGGGTTAATGAATAATTTTGTTTTCTCAATCAATTACTAATGACTCCTTCAGATTAAAAAAACTTCAAAAATCTATTTTTTGTGCTCCATGTTTCTTTTTTTTGTTTTTGTTTTTTTGCTTTTTGGTGAGGCAATCGGGGTTAAGTGACTTGCCCAGGATCGCACAGCTATTAAGTGTCAAGTGTGTGAGGTCAGATTTGAACTCAGGTTTTCCTGACTCCAAGGCCAGAGCTCTATCCACTACCCCACCTAGCTGTCCCTGTGCTCCATGTTTCAAGAAAAAAACCTGCAGAAAACTCTAATATTTTATTTCAACAAATACTAAGTACTTCCTATGTGCCTTAGGTACTGGAGATATAAAAATAGCTAAAATATAAACTTTTGTCTTAAAAGGTTTATAATATAATGAGAGAAGTTTTAAAGTGAAATAACTGATATGAAAGGAGTGATAAAAATGCAAAGTTTTTACAAAAATGTCATAAGAAATTTGAAAGGGAGAGTTCATATGCAAGTTATAAAGGGACCAGAGAAAGAGATTCAAGAAGGAGGTGTCTCTCGATTTCATCTTGAAAGGAAGGGAGGAATTTCAACAGACAGTGTTGGGGAAATCCATTCTTGGCATGGGGAAACAGAATGAGCAAAGGGAAGGGCAAAAATGGAGAACAGAGATTAGATTATACAGTTTGGCTGGAGTAAGTCATGACATAAGAATAAACACTTAGGTTGGGATAAAAATGTAGAGGACCAGTCTCTTGCCTCTTTTTGTGTCCCCAGTATTTAGTACAGTGCCTAGCCTGTAGTAGGTACGTAAAAAATGTTTATTGACTGACTGACCTTGAAAGTCAGAATCAGGAGTGTTTATATTTTACTGAGAAGGAAATAGAGCACCAGTGCAGGGTTTTGAATAAAGAGGTGATGTGATCAGAACAAATTACCCTAGCAGAAGTATTAAGTACAGACTAGAGTGCAGTTAGACTGAAGATCCGCAAACCAGGTTGGAAGCTGTTACAAAGTCTAGGTGAGTAGAAATAGGAATTTAAGGCATTTAAACTTAAGGCGGCTACACTGTGAGTGGAGAGGTGCAAGGAGAATCACAGGAGAATCGATGAACCCGGCAGATGATTGGATTTGAGGGATAAGGAAAAGAAAAGAGCTAAAGAAGAATTCAAGATTACGATGCACCTGAATAACTAGGATAATAATCCCATCGATAGAATGAGAAAATGGAACCAATTTTAAGGGGATAGTGTGAGTTCTGCTTGGTCATATTTTGAGGTATTAGTAATACATCCAATTGTATTCAGCAGAAACACGTGGGATTGGGGCAACTGAGAATGGGGAAGAAAAGATATAAATTTGGAGGTAATCTGCATAAAAGTGTTTAATGAAGACACAGGCATGGATGAGGTCATAGAGAGTGAGAATGGGGAGAAGGCCAAAACAGACAGAAGAATGACCAGAAAAGTAAGACAGCCATGAGAGTATAGCATCATGGGAGCCTAGGGAGGAGAAAGAGTGCCAAGAAAAAAGATGGTCATCCACCAATATCCAATGCTATTGAATATCAAGGAAGAGGAGGGCAATAAAGCAGAGAGGGGGCATTATGTTTAGAATTCATTAATGCCCTGGGGGAAATCCATTTCAATAGAATGGTAAGGGTGGAAGCAGGGTTAGAAGGAGCTGAGAAGGAAGTAGAGATAGTAAGCATAGGCTTCTCTTTTTAGAAGTTTGGCGACGAAATGGGAAGGGGGAAAGTATGTTAGATTGAGAAGCAGAATCTAGGAAAGATTTGGGTTTTTTTTTTAAATAAAAGAGTACTAGATATGTTTGTTGACAAAAAGGAGTCAGCAGAGAGAGACGTTGAAGATTCTCATGACGATGATAATTCACATTTCCAAATAGTCTGTGGTTCACAAAGCATAAAGGAGGAAGAGGGCCATCTTTCCTTTCAAGGTGCAATGGATGGAAGGGACCATGAGTAAGGAAACAGATTTAAAAGGAACTTGAGAGAAGTTCACTGATGTGATGACCTTAATCTTTTTAAATAAAATAGGGCTAAGTAGAAGTTATTTGCTAGGAGGGCAAGTTGGGGATTTAAGGAGAGAAAGTTGGATATGCTATTGTTGGGAATAGTAAATAATTGATGAATAAATGGATTAATGTACAGAGAGGGCCTGGTTGAAATTAGATAGTAGAAATTTGTAGTCAGCCTCATCAGCATTTCATGATTTCCTCCAAGAGGGATCAGCATCTTGGAAAAAAGCAGATATGAGAGGAGTAAAAGACCAAGAGATTGCAGTCATAGAGGATTTAGGAGGTAAAGTCAATTTGAGTGATATTAGGATTTAAGGCATGACTAAGCTAATGAGCAACTTCATAATTAATAATCCACACCCTTTTCTTAATGTATAAAAGTAAATCCTCAGAAATCAACTGCTTTCCCTGCCCTTTCTCATTAGGCTGTGAAGTTGTACCCGATGTAAACGTATCAGGGAGAAAGTTTGGAATCAAGTTGCTAATCCCTGTGGCTGATGGTATGAATGAAGTATATTTGAGGTGTGACAATGTGAGTAAAAAAGGTGAAACTGAATGAACGCTTAGTTGTTTAACATAAGGACCAGCGGTCATAGAAAATAAAGGATTTTCTCACATAAGTGCTGCTAATATCTTGAGGGATTCTTGGTTTGGTCCCTCTGGTTTTTAACCACCTCTCACTCTTCTCTGCCATCTCTTCAAAGCTTAGATCAGAGAGAAAACAGAGGTGTTTATACAGTGAGCAGTGGTAGAGTCCACCAATGACTTCCCTGTGCCACTGCTTGCCTAACCCCCAATAAGATCCAGGCAAGAGAGTAGTCAGTGGAACTAGGAGGTGGCAAATATCAATCAAATAAGCTAATAGGTTTTATTTATTTCTCCTAAAAGGAGCAGGCAGGGTAAGGAAAAGGAAGCAAATGTGTAGAGTGATACTTTCAAACACCTGTTGTTTTTACTGATTCATACTCAGTCATTGATTTATTTAAGTCCCAGGAGTATCCTCAGGATGGTGTTAGACGCTCTACAGAACACCATAAAGCCACACGCGCTCTAGCAACTTGTCAGCTTAAAACTCTGTAAACAGTACGGAGTTTTAGCTGGCATTTAATGGTTGGTAACTTAAAACAGGAAATTGTAACTCAGTTTTTTGGAGGCGAGGGGAGGGGAATCACATGCTAATACATGTTGGCGCCTGCTTTACAACTTAGAGGCTTACAAAGTTGCCTGCACCATTGAGAAGTTAAGTGACTTCCTCTGTCACATAGCCACTAGGTGTCAGACGCAATACATAAACCCAGGACTTGCTGACTTGAAGTCTGGCCCTGTAGCAACTCTTTTATGAAATCTCTTACAACCTACTTTTTTTTTTTGAGACAATTGGGGTTCAGTGACATCCCCAGGGTCACACAGCTAGTAAGTGTCTGAGGTCACATTTGAACTCAGGTCTTCCTGACTCCAGGGCTGGTGCTCTATTCATGGTGCCACCTAGCTGCCCCTATGACCCCCTTTTAATATCTTTTTATTGTGTCAGAGGTGTTGGTTACTTTATAGCAGGAGCCAGAGTACAGGCAATACTAGCATATCTTTATGATATATAGAAAATAGAGTCACTGATGAAGACGTGCTCTTTGGGAGGGAAAGAAACCACTGCTACTAAAGTGCATTTTATGGGATGGTATTTCAGAGTCCTGTCATGTTTGTGTTACAGGAGAATCAGTATGCCAGATGGATGGCTGCCTGCATCTTAGCTTCAAAAGGCAAAACTATGGCAGATAGCTCCTACTGGCCTGAAGTAAACAACATTCTTTCATTTCTGAAGATGAAAAACAGAAATACATCTTCACAGACACCTTCTGATCCTGAATGCATGGATATGAAACCAGAATGTTTTGTGTCACCTCGATGTGCAAAGAAATACAAGTCTAAACAGGTAATTCTAACATTGGCAGAGGTATGTCATTGTTGGCAGAGCCTAGGACCCCTGGGTCTTCACCTCAGAAAACTTAGAAGATTCAAAAATTAACATATCCTGTCCCTACATAAAATAGAAGGAAGTGAGGGGAGCTCAAGCTCAGACGTTAGCCAAGGAGAGGGAGAAAGGAGTTTTGGGTGGAATGAAGGCTGTTGACTTTTATCTTTTTCTCCTGATATCCTCTAAGGAATTCCCCTCCTCTGACATGCCCCTCCTTGGGACTTTCCTTTCCCTCTTTCCATTCTGAGAAGACTAGCTTCTCTCCTGAGCTTTTTCCATAAGCACTGACATTTTCCTCCAGGAAAGGGTGACTACTTTGCTGAGGCCTCTCTGGTGTAGTAGAAGGGTATGGGACCTCAAACCCTGTAGGTTGGACTAAATGACCTCCAAGGTACCTTCCAGCTCTTAGATTCTATCCCCTAAACCACCCGAGTAATTAATTCTATCTGAATTACTTAATGTATTATTTACACATTTTGAATTATAGTTTGTTTGAAGGCCCCCTTTATACTTTTTATCTAGTTATGTGCTCTAGACAGTGGATAGTGGCACTGAAGTGACTAGTTATGGCTCTAATTATTAGTATGACTTATACTAATTCCAAATACTTATTGAGCTACTGCTACTATGGGCACTGTTCTAAACAATGGAGATAAAAAGGATGTATACTGATAATAATAACTAAAAACAACAGCAACAGCAATAATAATAGCTAGCATCTGTGTAATGCTTTAAGGTTTATAAAGAACTTTATAAATATTATCTCATTTTATCTTCATAACACCCATGAGAAGTAGGTGCTATTATTAATCCCCATTTGATAGCTGGGGAAACTGAGGTGAAGAGAGGTTAAGTGATTTGCCCAGGGTCACACAACTAGTAAGTGTCCCAGGGAGAATTTGAACTCAGGTCTCCCTGACTCCAGATCCAGTTCTCTACCCGCTGTGCCACCCACCTACCTTGATGGCATAGACTTAAAATGCACAATTTAAATATTTAAATATTTAACAAGTGCCAAATAAAATAGGATGCACAAGGAACAGGAATAGCAAATTGACAGTGGCTAGGAAAAGAAATGGAGCAAATATTCAGAGCAGAGCTCTGGTTTTTGTATGGTCATCTTTGATTTCATCAAATGTTAATTCTCTCCTGTTTCTTTTGAAATTACATTTTATCACTTTGTGTTGACTTATCTGAGTACGTGTCAGATCCTCTCCCTTTCCCCCACCCCCTGTAGGACAGGGTTCATTTCATTTTTGGCAGTACCTAGTACTTTTTTTGCCTAGACCTGCAGAGTCTAGGGTACTAGTATCAAGAAACAAGTTCTGGTGCCTTCTGAAAAACAGTCCAAGCAAATCCTATGACTCTGGAACACTATGCTGTTTTCAGATTCAATTTAAAGAAAAAAACAACCCGACATATTTGTTAAGTGTCTGCTATATATAGCTAGGTATTCTCGGTGCAAAGATAGGATGTAGATCCTCCTCTCAAAGCTCTTACAGTCCAAAATGGAAGAAAAAACAAAAACACAGTTGACTGTGACTCAAGAGTTAATGTGATAGACACAAAGAAGAGGCCCAGACAAAGTGCCATGACATATTCAAGGAAAGAGAGATCACTTTAAGCTTGTAAGTCAGGAATTCTTTTTTTTTTAAGGCAATTGGGGTTAAGTGACTTGCCTAGAGTCACACAACTAGTGCCAAGTGTTCGGTCTGAGGTCACATTTGAACTCAGGTCCTCCTGATTTCAGGACCAGTGCTCTATCCACTGCCCCAGGAATTCTTAACCTGGATCCATGAACTTATTTCTTTTAAAAGTATTTTGATAACTTTATTTCAATGTAATTGATTTTCTTTGCAGTCCTATGTATTTTATTTTATGTGCTTAAAAACATTATTCTGAGAAGAAATAGACAGGCTGCCAAGGGGGGGTCCATGATCCAAAAAAGGTTATGAACCCCTGGAAGAAGAGGATGGAAAGAGAAAGGAGAGGAATGAGATCAGCAAAGGCCTCATGGAAAACTGGTGCCTGAGTTAGACCTTGAATGAAGGGAGAGATGTCAGTCAAAGAAGATCAGAGAAGAGTTCATTACAGGTAGTGTAGATAGAATGAGTAAAGGCCCCTAAATGGGAGCAAAAGATTCAGGTTACTTCACCAACTAATAGACAAGTCCTTGATTATCTTCTGGGATAATCCTATCCCGTTAAGAAATGACTCCTTCTTATCAATAATTTTATTTCTATCCTTGTCCCCATTTGACTTGAAGTCCATACATTCGTACTGTCTATTAACTGCTGAATAAAATTCAAACTCATCAGCCTAGCAGATGTTATCCTACTTCACAATACTCCCTGTCATATGTTTTGTGTCTGCCAATAAGAGTACTCCCCATTCTCCAAATTTATCCTCCCCTTTTCCATCTTCTTGCTTGTGCATGCATGTCTGGAATGCTTTTCCTCAACTTCTTCAGCCCATCCCCCCAGCCTTGTCCCATTGAAATCTTATTGTTCCTTCAACATGATATGTCCTATGCTAGTCATCTCATTGTGCATTGTTTGGTTAGACCTCTCAACAAAACTCTCAACATTTCAGTGAAAATTGTTTTATATCATTAGTCTTTCTGCAGCAACCCTTATATTCTTAACATGAGGAAAATAAGTGATATTTTTATAGGAATTTATAGTTTGCAAAGCACTTTTATATACATTTGGTAATCAAGACAACCTTCTTGTAAGGTAAGATGGACAGGTATTGTTATTCTTGTATGAAAGAGAAGAAAGTCTGGTGCAGGTGGCTTATTTGGCAAAGGTCACATAATTAGTAACTCAATCCTACAAAAATTTATTGAAGCACCTGCTATGTTCAAGGTGTTGGTGATACAAAGATAAAAATGAAACAGTCCTTCAAAAATGAAAGACCGTCAAGGAAATTCTCTTCTAACCTGTATCCTATGTGAAATATTTTCAAGACTTAAAAAAGAAGGCAATTTTTAAAATCCTTTCTATACTTTCAATATTTCAAAATCCTTTCAAATATGGTTCCAATTCCAAAACATGAATGGCTGCTTCATAGGATTTCTCTGGCATCCAAGGTATATTTCCTTGCTCCAACTGGTAGATCACATCTGGTCTGGAAACTCCAAATCCCAGAATGCAACTACTATGCAACTACCAAATTGCATACTTGGGGCTAGAACCTGAGGATTCTAACTCCTAAGTCCAAGGCTTTTTCTAATATGCCACACTAACACCTAGGACTTCTGCCAAGAACTCTTCCAGGATGCAGAAGAGTGTGTGGCTAAATTAACAGCTTAACAAATGGCAGTTTCATCTGAGCAGGTCAGCAGCTATGTAAAAGAAAGAACAGTAGACCATGAAAACCCATAGTGAGACATCATCAGGACCTAGCTATATGATCAATAGATAATATCTGATAATACTTGTGTTAGCTGATAACTTCCTATTTGAACTCTGATTTCAATGTGTTAATAAAGGATGAGCAAGTTGTTTTAGGGTCATTCCTGGGATTCTTGTGATCTTCTTTGAAGAGTATCCTAGAACTAAGGATGACAATGACCTCCATTAACTGGTCTTCAAGAGTTGTCAGACCATTCTTATTGTTCCTAGTTGGCAGCTCGAATTCTGGAAGCCCACCAGAACGTGGCACAAATGTCTCTAGTTGAAGCTAAGCTCCGTTTTATCCAAGCATGGCAGTCCTTACCGGAATTTGGGCTCACGTACTACATTGTGAGGTAATAACATTGTTTATTTTCTTTCTTCCTTATATACTTTGATTTTAAAATGACTTGTTGGGAATTTGGTTCATTTTCCATTGGGATAAATTTCTATTCTATCATTTCTCTAAGGGTCAAAACTTTTTTGGCAGTCCACAGAACTCTTCTGTGTGATAAAATAATGCACCCAAAGTATCAGAACCCTGAAATGCAGTTGAAAGTTAGAAATGGTCTAATTTTTTTTAAAGAAGCCTGATACCTAAAAGGTAACCTTCATTGCAGGAAGGAGAGTCCAGTCCCTTAGTTTCCTAAAAGCGAATGGTAGCTCCTCACTGTCTTATTGAATCAGTACTTATGGAATTGTATTTGATGCTCACAACATGGCAGAGAAGACACTGTGTAGCAGGCAGAGCATCCTTATTTCATGATATGACTTTACACAGTATTCTAGGTATTTTATTTCCATTGTAGCCATGTGAAGTATCAGTAAAAATATACATATATATAAAATATATACTTATATATATAAAATTTATATCAAATATATCAAATAAAATACACTTTTTACTATAAGCTTATCAGTCACTGACAAAAAATTTCAGTGTACAAGGAGCAACAAATTACATTGGGACTTCGAATGCTGTTATATGTAATTTGCCTTTTGAGAAATATTGTTCAGGTGTTTCAGTAGTGTTACACTCTTCATGACCGTATTTGAGGTTTTCTTGGCAAAGATGCTGGAGTGGTTTGCCATTTCCTTCTCTAGTTCATTTTTATAGAAGAGGAACTGAGGCAAATAGGGTTAAGTGACTTGCCTAGGGTCACATAGCTAGTAAGTGTCTGAAACCAGATTTGAAGATGAGTCTTCCTGACTTCAGGGCCTGCACTCTTATCAGCTGTGCCACCTAGCTGCCCTAAGAAATATACATGTGTATTACTTAACAAGATAGTAACAAAATCACTCTATTTGTGTTTCCTTGTGTACTACTTTTCTCTGCCTTTAAAAATGTTTTATTGGTGCCTTTTTGGCATATTCATTATTATCCATGAACCCACCTTCTCCTTCCAAAAAAAAAAAGTCCTCCCTTGTAATAAATGTATATATAGTCAAGTGGTTACAAGATGACTTTTTTTCAACCAGACAGAGTAGTAAAATGCTTGTTGCCCATGGTCACAAAAGTAAGCTTTGGAGCCAAAAGGGATTATGTAACTATAGAATAACAGAATTAGAGAATTGGAAGGGGCCCCAGGAAACAAGTAGGCCAGAGTTTCTTAACCTAGAATCTGTGAAATTGTGTTTTTTTAGAAAATATTTTGATAATTATATTTCAGTATAATTGATTTCCTATATAATCCTATTATTTTATTTTATGCATTTAAAAGCATTATTCTGAAAAGGGTTCCATAGGCTTCACCAGACTGCCAAAGGGGTCTATGACACAAAAAAAGTAAAGAACCTCTAATCTAGTCCAACCCATGCCCATAAGGAACTCCCATAGTTATCGTTACATAATTTCTAATATATAAGTTATATGAAGTTTATAGAGTTATGCGAGCTTTAAGTTATATAAAGCAAAAATTTTTTCCAGCCTCTGCCTCCAAGGAGGAAGAAACCACAGGTTTCCAAGGAAGCACATTCTGCTGCTAGACAGCTTGAATTATTAGGAAGCTTTTCCTGACATTGTCTAGATTTGCCTCTTTGCACTTTCTACCTTTTGCTCTTGGTTCTGGTCTTTGGGGCCAAAGAGAACAAGCACAATTCTCTTTTAAAAACTAAATGGTCCCAGTGCCTTTCATTGAGCCTCATATGGACTCAACTCTTCACCACCCTGGTTGGTTCCTATGTACACTCTCTACCTTATCCTTATCTTTCTTGAACTGACACCTCGAATTGAAGAGAATGCTCCAGATGCGGTGTGGTGAGGGCACAGTACAGTGGGAGGATCACCTCCTTATTTCTTGAAGTAAAGTGTATCATCATAGCTCAAAGTTTTATTAGGTTCTTGTTTGTTTGCTGGCCACGTCACACTGCCAAGTCACACTGAGCTAGCAGCTCACTGGAATACCTAGTTACTGTGGTTATTGTAAGATAAACTGCTGTCTGATGATACCTTCCATCCTATACTTAAATCCAAATGTAAAGACTTTATATTTATAGCTATTTAATTTCATTTTATTGGATTCAGTTCAGCCTGTCAAAATCTTTTAGGATTCTGACTTTGTCATCCCATATGTTAGCTATCCAAATTTTGTCATCTACAAGTTTTCATACCATTATTCAACCAATCAATAAAAATCTTAAATAGCACAGAGTGAGCACGGGTCTCTGGGATACTACTGGTAACCTGCTTTGCTGACATTCCGCTATTAACATCTCCTCTTTGAGTCTAGTTGTCCATCCAGTTCTGAATCTTATCAAATTGTACTCATGTATTCCATATTTTTTTATCTCCACAAGAATGGGATATAGAACCTTATGAAATGTTTTCTAACATCTAGATAAATTGTATCTATTGTATTCCCCTCATCTACCACTTTAATAACTCTGTCAAAAAAGGAAATGAAGCTAATCTGGAATGAATTGTTCTTGATGAAGCCACACTAGCTCCTTGACCTCACAACTTCCCTTTCTAGCTGTTCACAAACCATCTCTTTAATGATCTAGTCTCGAATTTTTCAAGGAATTGAATTTAAGTTTACTGGGCTGTATTTGGCAGATTTTATTCTCTTCCTTGTTTTGAAAATAAGGACAACACTTACTCTTCTCAACTCTAGTGACACCTCTCCCATCTTCCACCATCTTTCAATTCTTCCCAACAGTGGCTCCACAGTCATATCTGCTAGCTCTTTCAGAAACCAAGTATGTAGTTCATTTGGGCCACGGGACTAGCTCTCTTACTAACTCATTACTTATCTTGATTATCAACTTTCTGTTAATCATTGTTGTTCTTTTGAATGCAAAAGTCATTCTCCTTGGCAGAGATAAGAAAAGCCAAATGAAAGTTGAGCAGCTCTGCCTTTTCTCTGCTGCCAGTTATTATCATCTGATCCACCCCCAGCAGAAGTATTTTCCTATCTTTGATCCTCCCTTTTCTCCCAAAAAAAAAAAATGTTTTCAGCTTCTCACAACTTCAACACACTCTGAGCTTCTTATATTCACCCTCTGTTAACTGAACCTGCCTCTGTCTTCTGTACTTTTCCTTATTTTAAAACTAAGTTGCTCGGTGAGGTCGCTTCAGATCCACATTGGTCTTTTGGGTCAAATCCCATTTTTTCTTATTGGAATTGTTTGCTTTTATGACTCCAGAATTTCATTTTTGAATAGCCCATCTATCTTGGGCTGATTTCCTCTGTATAATTTTGTCAATTTGAAACTATTCTTCCTGTGAGCCCTTTGAGATTTGCTTTCCCAAAATCTAGGTCAAATGTCAGATCATGCCCCAGATATCCTCTCTTCATAATCACTAATTCTTAATTCTAGGAGGTAATCTTAACTTTCCCCATTCCCAATCTCCCCTTACATCATTTTCACCCTAACTCCAAATGTGTCCAATCACTTTATCTAAGAGATGAGAAAAATTGCAGCACAGAATTATTAAATTACTTGACCAAGGTCACATAGAATCAGGGCTTCTTAATTTTTTTCCACTGCCCACACTTTTTCCCCTTCAGGCAGCATTTGTTGGTGTCGTGTGGCCTGAGGGCATGCGCCGTGCCAAGTATGGATGCTTTGTGTTCAGAATCGAGGCTGCAGTGAAGTTGCTTGATGCAACAAGGGAAAGCAAGCACTGACAGAAACGCCTCAGACTTATTACGTGTTTGATTTTTAATTAATTTTTGGTTTGGGGCATTCAGAAATCTTTTACTGTTGTCAAATTTCGCATGACCCCATATGGGATCACGACTTACAGTTTAAGAAGCACTGATAGATAATAGCATAAATGAGATTAAAACAGAACCTAAATTTCAGCTCTCAGTTTACTGTTCTTTGCATTTCACTAATATCACCTCCGTAAGGTTAAAAAAAAAAAAGGCAGCTAGATCCTACAGGAATGCCTAACTTTATGAAATAGGTTATGTTGCTGAAAAGGTATGTGCTAATAAAACCTTTTGAAAGTTGAATCATATATTTAAAGAAATCCTATGATTACTACTGTAAACAAGTAGTTGCCCTATCATTTATCTTCTTTGTCATATAATGGAAAAAGGACTAGATTGGAATTTAGGAGAACTAGATTCTAGCCCTGGCCAATCTACCTCTTTAGGACTGTTTCCTCTCATATAAAATGATAAGGTTTGGCTAGATTATCATTAATGTTCATTTTGGGTCCAACAGTGTATTATTCAATGATAAATATGGCTGTTCAGGTCCTGGCTTTATATAAAGCATAGTCTGTAGATATTTATGGCTCTTCTCAAAAACTTGATTTCATCCCTTGCCTTATCTATAACAACTCTCCCCTAGCAGGGATAGCTGGAGGGGATCTATACCAGTCCTGTTTCCTGAAAAGACCTATCTAAAGTTTATTTCTTATCTTTTTTTCCCTTGTTTCCAAGTTTCAGTTGGAAAAGAAATAACTAACCCATTCTTAACTCATTCATCCCAGTAAGGTAAAAATGAGCCTGTAGCTGTTCTGTTATTCTGCTATGTTCCTTTAGAGTTAATCTCCCTGAGGCAGAGTTATCCTACTAGCCCAAAGAAGGTACCCCATTGTTGAGGTTCAGGGGTGCTGGGACCCCAAAATGTTGAGAACAAGAGATGCAGGTCCTGCCCGAATGAATTCAACCCAAGCCTTCTTTCAGCCAAAGACAAGGTTTATTAAAGAACCGCCCTATTGGCCAGACTCTTAAGGAATCTAAGCATTTGTATGGAAAAAGAATCTGAGCACCTTAATGGAGGCCAGATGGATCTTATATACAGAAAGTCTGTGGGCAGGATCTTGGAGTGGCCAGTAGGCTGATCTAAGGAGGATCTATATGCAAGTGGCCAAGTAGTTTGGGGTGACTGGAGGAGAGGTATGGGACAAGGGGTATCTTGATGGGAGGGGCCTGTAGACTGGAGGAGGAGTCTAGGGAAGATCTAGGGTGGGAAGTAGCTGGGGGCCATTGAGAAGTAATAGACAATGGAGGGCTGGGCTAGGTTAAGGGTAAAGAGTATTGGGAGATTGGGCATAGGTGATAAGGAAAAGCCAGTTGATAGGATTATAGCCTCAGGAAACACTAGAGACTTTCTTGACCAAGTGGGAGTTCAAGGAGAGTCCAAGGTAGGGTTTTCTCTAGGACTCTTAGACAAATGGGACCCAAATTCTTTTTGGGGTAAGGGGCAAAGGTGTTGGCTTGGGCTTGTACCTCATCATTCCCCCCTCAAACAAATGGGACCCAAATTCTTTTGGGGTGAGGGGCAAAGGTCTCAGCTTGGGCCTGTACCCTGTCACCATGGCTTTCTGTTCTCTCAGCAAGTCCCTCCCTCATTCTTTCTTTTGCCTCCCCTACCTATTCACTACCTTTCTCCCACCACACATGATCTGTAATTGTTTTGGTGATTAATGTACCCTGATTTGGTGATTAATGTACATACCCTGACAGACTCTTAAGTGCAGTGATTTTATGATTATCAAACTTTCCAAAATATGTGAGCCAGGAGCATTCACCATGTTTATACACAATAGTATTCAGACCTGCAACCACTAAGCTAAAGATTCTGTACTCCACCTTATATAGTTTTCCATTTTGCCAGCCAAAGGAAAGTGGAAGCATAGGAAAGTGGGACAGTATATGTCTTGGAAATATAGACATACAAAAGGGTGAGATTAAAGAAATATTATGGGGGCAGCTAGGTGGCACAGTGGATAGAGCACCGGCCCTGAAGTCCGAAGGACCTGAGTTCAAATTTGACCTCAGACCAAACACTTGACACTTACTAGCTGTGTGACCCTGGACAAGTCACTTAACCCAAATTGCCTAAAAAAAAAAAGGAAAAGAAAGAAAAAGAAGAAATATTATGGGCATATAGAAAAGGAAAAAAGTTTAGTTATACTTCATTTAATACTATATTTTCTTGTATGTACTTGAATTTCCACTGCCCTTCTTTTCTCTGATAGGAATTTTTGGGGGGTAATGGTACTTGACATCTGTTCTTGTGTGCCATAAAGGAATGAGTTTGTAATTATATTCTTTCTCATATAATTTATACAACAATAAAAAGGTATACTTCAATGGACTTGATGAACTGTCTCAGCCTTTTGTAATCCCAATGGAATGATTTAGAAATGTATGTATCTCATTTGTCTTTTCCAAAGAAGAGAGACTTGAGTGAGAACCATTTATCTAACATTCCCTGTTATGAAATGGTTTGCAATTGGATCTTGCTCTCTTAATGAATACAATCATTATTTTTGCAGGTTTAAAGGAAGCAAGAAAGATGATCTTCTTGGAGTCTCATATAATAGGTTAATTAGGATAGATATAGCCACAGGGGATCCAATTACAACATGGAGATTTGCAAATATGAAACAGTGGAATGTAAACTGGGAAATCCGGCAGGTAAAAATTATTTCTTTTTTTTTCTCTCCTAAACAGATGTAGGGCCTGTGACTATGTGTTATTCCAGAGAACCATAGATGGTTTTAAAAGGAGGAACTTTTGTTTCGAAAGCTAAAAAACCACAAAGGTTTTGTAATTGTATATAAAACAATCGCATTTAATTCTGGGCAATTTTTTAAACATGTAGGGACCAAAAAAATAACTGAACTGACATGGCAAAATTGTTTAATTCATATTTTGAACATATGAAATCTCCAGCTCCCTAAAACTGCTGAGCTGTACATGATATTTAATTTTAATTCATTCAGTATAAGCTTATGAGAAAGCTTAGATTCATCATTTCACAAAGATGAATATAACATGTATAAATGACATAAAACCAATCTTAGAGCACAGGTTCTTGAGTAGCTGCCAACAGATTGTTTTGTCTTGAGCTTTAAGCCCTATTTGTCTATCTAAAAATAACTTTATTCATGAAAGAAAAAATTGGTTAAATGACTTATTTGCACAGATTGGAAAAGATAGCCTGTTAGTACTAAGAGCCCATAATCATTAGGCCTTAATACAAAATCAGTGCATTTCAAAAAGAATCACAAAATCTCACAGGTGGAAGGGAAGCTGTATCTGATCATGAATCTAATCTACAACACATTCAGGTGATCATCCATCCATCCATCATATGAAGACCTCCAGTACAGGGGAAGGCCCTGTACTTCTGGAGGCCCACTACTTTGAAACAACTCTAAATGTTAGAACAAGCTTCGTTTTTGTTTCTCAAACCTGAATTTGTATCTTTCCAGCTTCTACCTATTGCTTCTTGTTCTGCCATCAGAGCCAAGCAGAACAAATCTAATTGTACCCATATGATAGCTCTTAGATACCTATTTGCAGCTATCATGTTCCCCGAGTCTTCTCTTCTCCAGACTACACATCCCCAATTCCATTGACTGATGCCAACGTGACATAATCTTGAAGCCCTCCATCATCTAGGTTGCCTTCCTGCAGAGACTTTCTGGTTTATCAATATCCTTAATAAAATATGGAGCCCAGAACTAAACAGAATACATTACACATGGTCTGATCAGGGCAGAGGGCAATGGAACTATCAACTCTGTGTTCCAGACACTTTGCTTTTCTTTTTTTTTAATTTTTTTTTTTTTTTTGGTGAGGCAATTTTTTGGTGAGGCACTTAACTGGGTTAAGTGACTTGCTCAGGGTCACACAACTAGCACATGTCAAGTGTTTGGTCTGAGGCTGGATTTGAACTCAGGTCCTCCTGACTTCAGGGCTGGTGCTCTATCCACTGCACCACCTAGCTGCCCCATACTTTGCCTTTCTTAGTGTATTCCCAGTTCAAATTAGCTTTCTTGGATGCCATATTACATTGTTGACTCATATTAAGCTTGCAGTCCTCTAAAATCCCCAGATCTTTTTCAGGTAAATTTCTCTCTAGATATAATTCCCCTATCTTATATATCAAATATGTTACATACTTGATTTTTTTTTTGAAACCAAGAATAATTCTTTATGTATTTTTCAGTTGTTTAGTCATGGCCAACTCTTCATGACCCTACTTGGGGTTTTCTTGGCAAAGATACTAGAGTGGTTTGTCATTTCTTTCTCAAGCTCATTTTAAGGAAGAAGAAACTGAGGCAAACAGGGTTTAGAGATTTGAAGATAATTGTATTTCACATTATGTGCTCATATGTACCAGCATAAAGGAAGAAGTCTGCAATTTAAAGGAATGAATTTTTAGCTTAACCTTTCTCATGTAGTTTAAATAACATGAAAAAGGTGAACCTAATATCTCTTCTTGTTTCCATTTTCTGTACATGTCTTTTTAAAATCTAAGCCAATTAAAGGAGTTCCCCTGGACTTTCACATTCCACTTCCTCTTCATAACTCTGCCCACTTTTTTTTTTCCTTTCTTTTCAGAATCCTTTTTCCTGGTATATTCTTGAGAATTTCTTATGCCTCCCAGACTGACTGTCCCCTATAGAATTCTAAGCACTAGGATTCCTACCTATTATTAGCTTCTCCCGATTCTGACAGAGCTTGAGCAAATATCCAAATAATTGAAGTTCCCTGTCATTACCATTGTATCATGGCGGCTGAGCTGGACTTGTGTCCCATTTCCCAAACACTCCTCTGTTATTCCCCTTTTCTTTTTTAGACAGTCCGAGGCATACGTCAGTGACAACATTGGTTCTACCTTTGGCTCAGTGGCTTCCTCCAACTCTTTTTCACCAGGTTTTAATCTTCTGGTACCTTGATTTTCCTCTTACTAGTACATATTCTTAATATAGTGCTACCTATCCTGCTCCTCCCATTTAAAGTATACCGATAAAGGAAAGCAGTTCTTATACAGACTAAAGTATACTGAATAAGATCTTATTCAGTCACGGATCTCATCCCTCACACTTAGGAGTTTAGATATGCTTCTTTGCATTAGGCACTATAACTCACATTTACTTGATACTCACTTTGTGCATTTGAGTATACACATTGACATCTGAGGCCATGGGCTTTATTACTTTTTTTTTAACGTTCTTGCTTGTAAGTTTCTGGGCATTTCAACTACAACTACATCACAGCAACTTTCTATGCTATCCAGGTCATTAGATAAACATAAATCAGTTTTCTCCTACCCCCTTCCTTCTTAACTTAAAGTTCTTTTGATTATGTAATCAGGATTTGAAAACTGGCATCCTGTGATTTCTTATTCAGAGGGACAAGCATTACAATCAGATTTGTGAGACTATATGTAAATACATTCTTATGACCCATATTAATTATATTCTATCCAGTGACATTTTATCATTATGATATTTAAAGCTTAAATCCAGGAATCCAAATCCCTATTCTCATGAAATCATCTTCTTAATCAGCTGTTCACCTCCCAAATAGACCTTTTTTCTTCTTTCAAAACACTTACCTTTGACTGGCAGCAGTGATTTAAAAAAAAAATACCATCTGTGCCCAAGATTTCATACTCTTATCTTCCTGTGTCCTTGAATAACTCTGTAAAAAGCACTTTCACTCTTCCAGCAGAAATCTGTGACTATGGTGTGGTAGGAACACTGGACTAAAAGTCTAAAATCCTAGGTTCTGATTCCAGTTCTACTAGTATGTCATCTTGGACAGTCAGCCAAAAAACATTTATTAAGTACCTGTTCTGTGCCTGGCACTGTGCTAAGCAAGCCACACAACTTCTCCAGATTTCCATTCTAATAGCAAAAATGGAGAACTCAGACTAAGTGGTATCTTAAGTGTCTTAAAATTTTCAAAATATCTCTCTTGCCTTTTATTAATTGTGATATAAACTTACCTCCTATAAGGAGGTAAGGACCTCCTTCATGGTTTGCCTTGTAATATAGCGACTACTTGGACGATATTTGCATCTCATATCATTCAATCTCCAAGTACTGATTAAAGGCCAACTTTAGAATTATCTGTTCCAGCTGCCTTCTAGAATTTATTTCTCTACCACAAGAGGGCACCAAATGAACAGTAATTCCGTTTGTTTTTTTTTAAAGCTAACTTAAGCCAGTTCCAAATTGTTTGTAGACTACTTCACAAGAAACCAGAGTCTAAATAATCATTAACAGGAAGTTGAATATATGGTTGCCCATCTGTGTGTATAGATTTTTTTTCTTACATGTGCTCTACATTTTTTTTCCAGGTTGCCATAGAGTTTGACCAAAATCTATCTATTGCTTTCACTTGCCGAAGTGCAGATTGCAAGATAGTACATGAATATATTGGTGGCTATATCTTCTTATCCACTCGCTCAAAAGACCAAAATGAAACACTTGATGAAGAGCTCTTCCACAAATTAACAGGAGGTCAGGAATGAAACAGCTGACTTGGTTGACCTTTGCAAACAGTACAGCTATATCATGGTTTTTGGATTTTTGTGGGTTTTTTTTTTTATTTTATCCTTTGACTCTTCCTGAAAGATAGAATAATATAACAAATTTGGTATAAATCCTGGAATATTTCCCTTGTGACATCTCTCCCACCCTCTTTTGTTACTAGTCACTTGAATCCAATGCATACCCTTCCTCCCTGAAGCATTTTCTATGGTGGAATTACTTGAACCTGAATAGTATGACCTAAAGTTTTATTTCAGCCGTAAGGTGGCAGCAGAGTAATGAAGAAGGAAGATGCCGATAAAGTAAAGCAGTTCTTATACGGACTAAGAAGCATGAAGCAAATGCTTCGGCATCATTCCTGTGAGGTATCCTGAGATGATTCCATCCAGGATTCTGTCAGATTCCCAAAGGAACTAGAACTTACCAACAAATTTTGAGTGATCTATTTTCATTTTCTGAAGCTAAAAAATGAGAAGAAAACTTAGAATTCAAGAGTAATGCATAGAGAATCAGATTCTCTCATACCTATCTCCCAGATGAGGCAAATCATGAAACATCTTTCAGCCTCTAGGTACAAGCCTCAAGATTGAAGGCCTAACTTGAACACTTAGGCCCTAGGACCATATGGTTCATGTAGTAACAAACATAACTGAAATATTTTCTTCTGACACAAACTGATAATTTGACCATAACCCTGGCACTGTCAAACTTCAATAAGTATCATTTACATATCAAGCCTCCTAATATTTCAGTTTGTCGATTAGAATTATAATATTTAAAGTATACATAACTAGCCTATTTGTCACAAAGGACAAAGTTGAGCATAATTTGAGGCCTTGGTTTCAACTGAACTGTTTGGTATTTCCCATTTGTCTGCACAATTTGAGGCCTTGGTTTCAACTGAACTGTTTGGTATTTCCCACTTGTCTGTCATTTCCATAATAATTTTCATAGATGTTGACTGATTTTGACCAAATTTTGTCCGCAACAAAGAGTATCAGGATAAACTTCAAGTTCTGTTTATGGGTACTTGGCTATCACGAAGGAGACAATGGGAGTCAAATGAAATCTTCCAAATGAGTGATTTATACTTAGGAGAGATGCACTTTACAAAAGTATTAGTCTAAATTTAGATTAGCTCATTATCCTCTTGGGGGGTGGGAGGTGGGGAGAACCTTCGGCCTCGAGGCCACACTTGGTTCTGTGAAGTATGGATTCAGTTAGAGGGCTACACTTGAGGACCTAGAGGGCTATGTGTGGCCTTGAGGCCACAGGTTCCCTACCATAGTTATATTATTAGATTTCTAAATAGCCACATCAAGTCAACAGGTCAACCAGCAGTTATTAATCACTTACTGTATGCCAAACACTGTATACTAAATGCTTTATACAGCTTATTTGTCCTCTGTAAAGCTGTTTGAGTCCATGTTCTCCACAGTCATCACCATAAAATTTTATACTACTGTGTGCCATTTAAAACTACTTGCTTTTCTGTCTACATTAGATGGGGAAATATACATTTAATTACTTTTATATGGATGAGTACAAGAAGTAGATAAGGGACTATGATTTCCTTGATAGAGAGAACTTCTAGTGAGGAAATTCTGCCAATGTAGGCTGACCTTGTACCTCCTCTGCAGCTAAGTCTTTGTTTAATTTTAAATTTATCAAATGCAAGATAAAATTAGCATTTCCTTATACATAGTAGATCAGAGAAATGATTTTACATGTAACTGCAAATCTGTTATATGCAATATGCTTTTCTTTTAAAATATCTAATAACAATTCTGCACTTACAGACTTAGAGTTGACTGGAACAGTGAGAGGTTAAGTGTTAGAGTCACATAGGCAGTTAAGTCACATAGTCAGAGGCAGGTCTTGAACCCAGGTCAACCTGGCATCAGGGTTGATCCTCTAATGCTGCCTCTGTACTTTTTAACCACAGTAATAAAATACACAAAGTTGGTATGGTATTTTTTTTGGGGTCAGTATTGTTCCTGCCTAGTTGGCCCTTTCCCACATAGCTGTCTGTATGCTAAGGTAAGTTATGCCCTTATTTTCTCTGTTACAAAGAGAACAAACACAGCTTTCTGATTCTCAGCCTTCCTACAATTTCAGAATGACAGACAGTTTTCATCTATCAGTGAAAAGAAAAGTTATACTGGTAATCTGGACAGTTAGGGATACCTGAAAATATTACTTTAGCCATAACTTTCAACTTATTTATGATGTCAGAAATTCCAATAAAATATGAAACAGCACTCCAGTTCTTTCCTACTCCTATTTCCACCTTAGAGAAGAAATGCAAATGACCAGGGTAGGCACTGAAAGCCTGGAAATGGCAATTCCATACTGAACTACAGGCTCAATATGAGTCAGCAATTTGATGGTAAACTATAGGCTTTCATGAATAAAGTGATCATTCTTGCGCACTTTGCCTTAGTCAGACCAATCTAGGAGGTGGAGACGCGGGTGAGCATTCCAGGCTTGGAAGACAGCCAGTGAAAATGTCAAGAGTCAAGAAATAGAGTGTCTTGTGCAAGGAACAGCAAGGAGGCCTATGATGATAAGGTTTTGGAGTACATGGAGAGGAATAAATTGTTGAAAGACTGGAAAGGCAGGTTATGAAGGACTTTAAAAGCCAGAGGACTTTATATTTGTTCCTTAGGTGGAAGGAAGGAATTAAGCATTAATTGAGTGTCTACTATGTCCCAGGCACTGTACTAAGTACTTTAGGAATGTTGGTTCTTACAGTAACCCTGTGAGGTAGGTACTATTATTATCCTCATTTTACAGAGGGGGAATCTGGGGCAGAAAGAGGTTGTGATTTGTCCAGAGTCACACGTAAACTAGAAAGTGTCTGAAGCTGGATTTGAACTTGGTCTTCCTAACTGCAGGCTCAGAGCTTGAATCACTACCACCTAACTGCCTGTAGTAAGGAGCTGCTGGAGTTTATTAAAATTTGGGTGATATGGTCAGACCTGCACTTTAGGGAGATCAATATGATAGCTGAGTGGAGGATGGACTGAAGTGTGGAGAAGCCTGAGGCAGGGAGATCAGCCAGTAGGCTATTGCAGTAGTCCAGGCCTGTAGCCATGAAAACTTGGACCAGAGTGGTTGCAGTATCAGAGGAGTAAAGGGGACATATATGAGACTTGTTATGAAGATAGAAATGACAGGACTTGGCAACTCTTTAGATATGGTAAGTGAGAAAGAGGAGAAGACGGCACCCAGGTTGTGAGCTTAGGTGAGTAACAGTAACAGAACTTAGACCAGGGATGGAGAACTTGAGGCCACATGTGGCCCTCTAGGTCCTCAAGTGTGGCCCTTCATCTGAATCCAAACTTCACAGAACAAATCTGGATTTGGTCCACACTTGAGGACCTAGAGGGCCACATGTGGCCTTGGGGTCCCAGGTTCCCCACCCCTGATGTAGTAAGGTGTAGGTGGGAAAGATGAGCTCAGCTTGGGACATGCTGATTTTAAAATGTCTATGAGCTACCCAGTTCAGGGTACCCATTATGGGATGTTGGAGATGAAGACTGGAGTCTGATTAGTCAATCCAGAAGCATTTAAGTACTATATGCAAAAAAAAGGTATTAAGCCCTGGGAATACAAACAGCAGAAAAACAGTTCCTGCCCTCAAGGAATTTGCTTTCTAATGGGGGGAAGACAACACTTAAAAGGAAAATGAAAGGGCAGCTAGGTGGCACAGCGGATAGAGCACCAGCCCTGGAGTCAGGAGGATCTGAGTTCAGATTTAGCCTCAGACACTTACTAGGTGTGCGACCCTGGGCAAGTCACTCTACCCCAAATGCCTGAAAAAAACAAAAGGAAACTGAAAGGGATTGGGAGGAGACCAAGGCATCTGTTGGGGTGGAAGGGACTTCAGGTAGAGAAAGTTAAGAGCACAGCCTAAAGAAGAATGAGTCATGGCTGGCCTGGGCACCCTCTTTAACCGGAGTTCAGGGAGGAGTTATACAATCAAAGGAAAATGGGTACAGGATACTTCCAATGTGGGGCTTCCATGATGAAAAGGTTTCTGGGGCAAGGTAGAGGAAGTGCAGAACACAGCAATGAATTTACACCACGTGACAAGATAAAGGCTGTTGACCAACTTAATCACAGTTTCATTGTGTGCTCCTCACAGTACAGTGGGGATCAAGCAGTATGGTTCTCTGTCACCTCGGGTTTGGGATTAGACATACTACCTCTTTAGGTTCTTTAAACGCAAACTGTCTTTTAGAGGGAAGAGGGCAGGAAGGAGGTTATGGCTGGACAAATAGGTCAGAGAATCATCTGCATAGAGATTATAATTGAATCTATGGAAGCAGATGAGATCACCTAGTGAAATAGCATAGAGAGAAAAGAAGAGAACCCAGCACAGAGCTGGGGGGGTGGAGGGGGTGGCGCAGAGCAACAGGTTGGATGGGAACATGGCCAGCAGGTGTGATGTGGATGAAGATCAAATAACAGAGACTAAGAAGTAGTCAGGCTGGTAGGAGAAAAGAGAGAGGGCATGAAAACCTAGAGAGATGAATCCATAAAGAGCGAGTGATTGACAGTGTCGACTCCAGAAATCAAGGAGAATGAGGATTGAAAAAAGGCATTAGATTTAAGAGATCAGTGGTCACTTTGGAGGAAGCTGTTTCAGCTGGATGACGGGGTTGGAATCTAGATCGTAGAGTTTACAAGAGAGTAAGAGGAAAGGAAGTGTCGTAGACAGTCTTCTCAAGGAGCTTAGTTGCAATAGGGAAGAGGTGGAGTACCTGGATTCTCTGCCAAACTTAAAAACTAAAATTTTGCTCCCTAAACTCAAACCTAAAATTTTATTACGCCCTGAAATTCCACTCTTGGTGTTGACATAACCTTTATTCCCTTTTGCCTCTAGGGCACTTTCTCTGGCTGTCCCCCATCCCTTAAATGTTATTCCTCCTCATCTCCACCTCCTAGCTTCTCTGGCTTCCTTTAAATACCAGCTAAAATCCCACCTTCTATAGGAAGCCTTTTCCAATCTCTCTTAATTCTAGTGCCTTTCTTCTATTGACAGTTACCTCAAGAGAAACTCTTGCCTTTCTTTGTATTCTCAACGCTTAGCATAGTGCCTGGCACAGAGTAGGTGTTTAATAAATGTTTATTGACTGATGACTTCTCAAACCCTAACTATAACATTAAATCCCACTTACAATCCAGAGTAAAACTCTAATGCTAACCAAAAGCTGAAATTTAAATTCTATCCCAAACACTATTTAGAAACATCATGCATAGCTTGACTGCCACCTCACCATTGCCCAGGTATATGCCCTATCTACAGAATGCAGATTTAGTTTTCCTCATAACATCTCATAAAAAAAAAAAAACATAAAGAAGCTGGAAATTAGTGTACTGGGTACTTATATTGAAGCCTGTGTTCTTTTATTGCTAGGCAAATAGAGAGGCAACTCTATAATTAATAAGATAATTATAGCCCTATAATTATAATTAATAACTATCTCAGATTTGCCACTGACATGTTTCATGACTCCTGGCAATGCTAAAGAATAATAATAGACATTTACATACATGATGTTCTCTAACACAAGTGATCATTCAGCTTTTTTTGAAGACACTCAGCTTTCCCTTCCTCCTCCCAGTGAGAAGAACCCAGTACCTTACTGTTTAAGGACATGTACTTACCAGTCCAGATAGAGATGTCTATCTATGCATCTATGTATACAAACTGGACATTGTACCAGAAAATTTCACAATTTTTTGTTGAACAAAGCAGGTGAGAATCAAGGTCCATTAAAATTCCTGCCTCCCCTCCCAAACAACAATTATAATAATAATAGGTAGAATAAGTACATTAATCCACTACTTATCACTTTATTAATTACATTATCATTTGATATTCACAACTCCTTAGGTAAGTACTTTTTGTTTTTGTTTTTTTTTTGGGACCTGTGATTTCATGGTAGTGGGAAATCTGGTGAGGAAACTGTTGCTATTTTGCTTCAAAAGTCCAACCATCTCATCCGCTATCCAACTGATTAGTCCTGTCTAGCCACCAATTGTTATCTCTGTGTAAAAGTTGAAACAGCTTCCATTTATTATTCAGATATACAGAGAAATTTTTCAACGTGATTTTCCAGAAAGCTAGAAGGAAAGTGGTATAAAATTTCAAGGCTCCTTTTCCCTGCTTAAATTGAAGCCAAAGAATGCCTTTCTTTGGTCACTGCTTACTTCTTCCCAACACACATCAGTCAGTACTTCACCTTAGTAGCTTTTCTTCCCCCTCCTACTGGAATTTAAGCCTGGGGTTTGACACATTCCAAGTCCAGCCCTTGGGATTCTGGGATAAGGAGTCACAACCATAACAGAAGCATTAGCATTTTTTGGAGAAAAGCTCCTAGACAATCATATAACATCACATCTGTAATGTTTAGGGAGGATGTTGATGATCTGGGGAACATGCAAAGAGGAGCAACCAAGATGAAGGCCTTTGAGAATTAGTTGAATGAAAGGAACATGCTTAAAATAGAGAAGAAAAGACTGGTAGGAAGAAGGGGAACATGGTGTCTGTCTTTAAGGATTTTAAAGCTGTGATCTGAAAGAGAGATTAGATTATGCGGAAGGCTGAGTCATAGTAATGAGTGGGAGTGGCAAAGTACTGAATGTAGGTTAAATGTAAGGACAGATTTCCTAAAAATTAGAATCCAACAATGGATCAAGTAATGGTGTGGTCTTCAAACGATGGGTGAGGTGAATTACTTTTCAGGTGTGTTGCAGAGGGAATTCTTTTAAAGGTATGGTTTAGACCAAATAGCCAGTGATGTTTTTTCCAACTCTGAAATTCTGTGATAACCAATTCTCTGGAGGAGTTAAGATGAAGAGAGGGGTTGATTTCCAACGTCTTTAAAGCCAGTCCAGGCACTAAAAGAAAATCTCCCCTTTTAAAGGAGCCTTATCTGGCCTGTTTTATCTCATCC